CCAGTGCCAGAGGTTGATCTGCAGGGTGCTGACTTGACCCCATCTCAGAAGAAGGCTGTCGACATGCTTCTATCTCAGAATGCAGATGTGTTCTCCAAGGGGCACTTAGATGTGGGTTCGACTACCACAGTGGAACATGAAATACCACTGAGTGACCCAACTCCATTCAGGCTCCCCTACCGGAGAATTCCCCCAGCCCAGTACCAAGCGGTAAGAAGCCACATCGAAGAGCTTAAGGAGGCGGGAATAGTTCGACATAGCCAGAGCCCTTTTGCGTCCCCCATAGTTGTGGTAGAGAAGAAGGATGGAACGATTCGCCTGTGTGTCGATTATCGGAAGCTGAATTCCAGAACCACCAGGGATGCATTCCCACTCCCAAGGATTGACGAGGCCCTTGATGCCCTTGGGAAGGCAAGGTACTTTTCATGCCTAGACCTCACGTCCGGCTACCACCAGGTGAAAATGGCACCAAAGGATCAGCAGAAGACAGCATTCACGTCTCCCATGGGGTTGTATGAGTATACCCGCATGCCGGCCCTTTGGCCTTGTTAATGCTCCAGCTACGTTCCAAAGGTTAATGTCCACTGTATTTGGTGACATGACTTTCGAGAGTCTCCTCATATACCTTGATGATATAGTGGTTTTCAGCAGCACCATAGAGGAACACATGGAACGTCTAGGCAAGGTCTTTGCTCGGCTGAGAGAACATGGACTAAAGTTGAAACCCTCTAAGTGCCAACTGTTCAGGACTGAGGTTCGATACTTAGGCCATATAGTGTCTGCCAAGGGGATTGCCACGGATCCTGAAAAGGTCTCCATCATGAAGAGTTGGCCTGTACCCACGTGTAGGAGAGGTGTGAGGAGCTTCTTGGGGATGACTGGCTATTATCGGAAGTTCATCCAACACTATGCCAATATAGCAGCTCCTCTCTTCGCCTTAACTGGGGGAAAACGAGGTGGCAAGGAGCCAACTTTTGTCTGGACCACTGAGTGTCAAGAGGCCTTCACCACACTGATGTCTAAGCTGATCTCTGCACCCATCTTGGCGTACGCTGATTACAGCCTCCCATTTACAGTGCAGACTGATGCCTCCAGAGACGGTCTAGGAGCAGTTCTGACGCAGACACAAGAAGGCAAGGAGCGAGTGCTTGCATATGCTAGCCGCTCTCTGTCCGCCGCCGAAAGGAAATATCCAGCACACAAGATGGAGTTCAAGGCACTTCACTGGGCGGTGACAGATAAGTTCAAGGACTATCTGTATGGTAACGAGGTGACTGCTATGACGGACAACAATCCGCTCACGTATGTGTTGAAGAAGGCCAAGTTAGATGCCCAAAGTCATCGTTGGATTAGTGACCTCGCCCAGTACAACCTCAGCATTGTGTATAGACCAGGCAAACTGAATGCGAATGCCGATGCATTGTCCAGAATCCCCAGGAATGATGTACAACAGATCCTGAATGCAGTTGATGAGGTAGACAAGGAGACTACTCAACATCCAATAGCAGCTCAGCAGATGGTTCCTCAGGAAGGAGACCCGAGCACTTCAATGGCGGAGCGTACGTACTCTGAAGAATGCGCTTCCTCTGGGTCATGTGACGTGTCTGAAGGGCCTGAGGCCAGGGAGCATGCAACAGTGGGAACTGTACTTGAACAGATACCAGGCGTAGCAATGACACAGCAGGACTTGGACATCAGTCGTGTGACAACTCTTAAGTTGACACGAAAGTCTAGACCAAGTAAGAGGCAGATGAAGGCTGAAGCTCCTGCAGTCCGCAGATTGTTGAGGTCATGGGATAACCTTCACGTGAAAGACGGTGCACTGTTCTACGTCCATATCACAGAGGATAGAGACAACTATCTGCCCATCCCCTCGAAGTCACTGCGACCCCAGGTCCTGAAACATCTCCATGACAAGATGGGACATCTTGGATTCGAGAAGACAGTCCAGCTAGTACGAGACCGTTACTTCTGGCCCGGCTTATATTCTGAAACGAGGGCATATGTCGGGAAGTGCAAGCGATGTGCCCTAAGGAAACTACCGGACACTTGGCGACAAGCACCCCTTCAGAGCATCCAGACAACCCGACCATTAGAGTTGGTCTGTATAGACTTCTTGTCACTGGAGAGGTCGAAAGGTGGTTTCGAACACATCCTGGTAGTGACAGACCACTACACCCGGTATGCACAGGCGTACGCGACGAGAGATGAGACTGCAAATACAGTGGCACGAGTCTTATGGGAGAAGTATATCAAGAACTACGGCATCCCTGAACGTATTCACTCTGATCAGGGGAGATGTTTTGAATCAGCTATAGTGAAGGAGCTGTGTAATCTCCTCGGTACTGTGAAAAGTAAAACGTCTCCCTACCACCCCCAAGGCAACGGGATGACGGAACGTTTCAACCGGACGCTATTGTCTATGATGGGAACCCTTGAACCTGACCAGAAGCCTAACTGGGCGATGCACTTGCAGTCGATGACTTATGCCTACAATAGTACGAGACATGAGACAACAGGCTATAGTCCATTCTATCTGATGTTCTTGAGGGAACCTAGGCTACCCGCGGACCTTGTAACTCCAGGGGAGCCAGAGTCAGAGGAGAGCCGTCCCCAGTCCCTGTACGTCCAGCAGATGCAGAAACACCTCCGGAATGCCAGCGAAAAGGTGAAGCTCGCAACCAAGAAGGCACAGCACAAGCAAAAGTTGAACTATGACAAAAAGATTCGTGGAACCGAGAGAGAACTTCAGCCAGGAGATCGAGTCCTTGTCGCCAACAAAACACCAAGAGGCAGAGGTAAGCTGAGAGACAAATGGGAGGAAATACCTTACATCGTCCTTAGGCAACTGGGAGACTTGCCAGTGTATACCATTCAGCAACGTGGATCTACGAAGACGAGAAATCTACATCGAAACCTACTGGCCATTTGTCCTTTCGAGGTAGAGGATGAAACAGATGAGGGTCTACTTCCACCCCTTCCGCAGTCCCAAGATGTGGACGGACCTCAGGTTTATCTACTTCAACCCCCTCCACAGTTCCAGGATGAAGATTATCCTCCGCATCTCCATCTACCCCCACCCCCACATCAGTTGCAGGATGAAGAACCAGAGTCATCCTATGGTAGCAGTACAGCTGATGAGTCTGAAGTGTCCACTGATAGCTCCGCTAGTTCTGACAGTGTATTGGAGGTGAGGACCAGCCGACGACCAAAGAGGGGCATCCGTCCGCCTCGCAGGTTTGGAGACTGGCAGTGAATAGTTAATGAATTATGCCCATAGTGGTCACACAATTTTCGAGGATTCTAGTAATAAGTCTTGACACTCTCCTTGCGCCATTGCTAAGGATAGCAATGTATTTTAGTTGGCGAGTGTGTGGCAGGGCCACATAGTTAACTTGCATTAGCTTTTGGTTTTCAACATAGGAGTCCCTCCCCCTGACTTGCATAGAGTCTTAGTTTGTGCGAGTTCCCCAAGTGTGTCATTTTTCACGGTTACACTTGCTCCCACCCTGTTTGAAATCTACTTCTCTGCATCACCTCACCGTGCATTTCCTGACCCCTCAGGAGTACTGCTCCACACCCGCAGCTCTGGGAAGTTTTTTAACCTCTCACGCCTCCGTTCAAGAACAAAGATCAGAAAGGTTCTCATCAGAGAGCTCTTGTATGCAGACGACGCTGCCTTTGTTGCACAATCCGAAGCTGAACTTCAAGACCTCTGCAACTCTTTTGCCAAAGCGTGCTCGGAGTTTGGCATGAAGATTAGCCTCAACAAAACAGTAGTTCTCTCTCAGGGGACACCAGCTCCACCCAACATCTACATCAATGGTTCAGCACTAAGTGTGGTAAACAAGTTCTGCTACCTTGGTTCCACGATCACTAACAACAACTCTCTGGATGCGGAGATCGACACTCGCATTGGGAAGGCTTCAACCACCTTTGGTCAGCTTCGTTCCCGCGTGTGGGACAACCGGGACCTCTCCATCAATCTTAAAATCCGTGTGTACACAGCTTGCATACTGAGTGTCCTACTTTACTGCAGCGAGACTTGGGCCACATACAGCCGCCAGGAGCGACGCTTAAATTCATTTCACTTCCGTTGCCTTCGTTCCATACTTGGCATCACCTGGAAAGACCGCGTTCCGAACTCCACCATCCTTGCTCTCACTGGAGTGACTGATATGTTCACCATGCTGAGAGTACGTCACCTTCGATGGACCGGTCATGTTCGCAGAATGGATGATGGTCGCCTCCCTAAGGACATCTTCTACGGTGAACTGGCTGATGCCCCACGTCCTCGTGGTCGTCCTAGGTTGCGCTTCAAGGACGTCCTTAAGCGAGACTTGTCTGCCTTTGACATTCCGCATGATACCTGGGAGTCTGTTGCACTGGGTCGCTCCTCCTGGCGCTCTGCTATCCACTCAGGGCATTCAGTCTCTTCAAAGACCTACATTGACGATTGTGAAAGACGTCGAACTCATCGTCGTTTACGACGGGACAGGCCAAGATGATGAGAGAGCATTTTGAAGGCCGTGAACTTGATGATTTGTAAAAAGAGAAGGTTGGAAGCCGTGCAGAGGACTGCGAGCTCGTATTTCCGTGAAATGTGGATGATGTAGGTCATAAAATGGCTCTATTTTGCAATGGAGCGTAGGCGTCCATTTTCAAAATGGTGATGGGCTTCAGGACTGCTTTTAGGGGTGATCATCTTTGGATGTTTGAATGGCATTTCCTCCCAAAAGTCATGGTTAACCAAAAGAAAATTGAACAGAAATTGAAAGATGATGAAGTAAGCTTTAATTTGATGTACGTCTTGAATACCTCAGAGAGTTGTGAGTATTTTTCCTGAATTTCTGAAGTGGGGGCATTTATCACTGAGATCTATGTAAATTTACTTACTTGTCTGCAACCCTATGATTCGGTCGACTGGTCTAGCGCTCACTGATGCATCGATGCGCTTATCGTTTCGTACACGGCCTACTTTCTTTTGTTCATGTACTAAACTACCAACCTGTGACATTGACTGAAAATATGCAGCTGGCTTGATTGCCGGCCCGGTCAAAGAAGGTATAGGTGACTTGAGTGACACCCAAACTGAAGCTGTCTCCCGGTCTATGGCTACGTTCAGTATTGGTAATGCCAATGTTATCAGAACCTACAGGCTCAGTCCATGTGACTATCACACTGTCGCTGTCGGACGGCACCAGGGACTGGCGTTGATCCGGGCAACCTGTGAAAGTCGGAGGTTGGGTGTCCACTGTTGGAGGAAAATTATTCACTTGGGTGAGTATTATGATTCTACAATCCTGGCCAAATCTCGCTGAGCCCCCCCCCCCCCCCCGCCCCCGTTCAATGTTGTCTCTCATTGCGCGGTGTGTGCTCCATCAGCTGGAGAGAACAACATTGACCGGGGGAGCGGGGGAGTGGGTGACCGTGGCAGGCTCAGGAAGTGTCCCAACCATTTTGGCCGGGATTGTAGCTATAACAATCACGCCCCCACCTTAATGAGATTTTGCAAGAGGAAGTTACGGTTTAGCACACAAGATCACCAGATTAACAGAGCATCAGTGCAGTATGTAATGCTGAAATGGGGTATGACCTAGGCGATCGTACGATGTGTTTGCATCCAATTACAACGACGAGAAATCCTATTCGCCGAAAATCTGTCAAATTATCGCTCAAAATTGTTGACAGTTTCCCACTTCCGGTTTGCAATAGCAGGTGATGATTGCAAAGGTAGGCTCTCTGGAGCAGATTTGCTTCATGGAATAACGAATAATTCGGATACTTCGGGGGATTAACATGACGAAAATGTCTGCCTTGCCAGACATGTCAAATGATTGTATCAAGTCGCCCCGGCCCCCTGGCTAATTTGTCCTTGATTTTGTTATTTACTTACATCTTCATTTCTTTTTCTTTTTCCACTGACAACTTTTTAAAACCTGCAAACAATACAAATTTTACGACTGCATCCCGCTAGAATGTGAAAACATTCATAACCCAAGACACGAGGCTTTCATCAGAGGTTGACATAAACCCAAATGGCAGGACCATTGTTTTTAATGAAATTCTGCATGTAGCACTTTCGAAATCTAGGATATAAAGGCTCAATTAATAAGCTGTATTTTAGTAGAAGAATCATTTAAATCGCTCGTGTACTTTTCAAGTTACGAATTTTGAACACAACCACCTTTTTATAATTCTGTCCACGGATCACAAAAAGGTCTTTCGGGGTCTGCACATGAGTCCGACGCCCCATAGGTCCGACGCCCCATAGGTCCGACCGACGCCTCATACTATAGTCTGACGATTCATATTTTAAAGTCCGACGCCTCTTAAGTCCGAAACATTGTTTGTCCGTTGCCGGAATTATGAGGCGTTGAAATTACTAGTCATCGAACGTACGGGTACGGCCCCGTTCTTTCAACAAAACGAAAACAATTCACATTCATCCCAGATTTGAAAGTGCTACATGCAGAACTTCGTTAAAAAAAATATTGGTCCTACCATTTGTGTTTCCTTTTTTTAGTCATCCTGTACACTTTGCTCAAGAAAGAAATAGACTAGCTGTTGTAACGGAAGGTATGCATATCAATTCACAAGGGAAACCTCTGTAATAAACCAATTGGACGAAAAAAATTTAAGCCATTATTTTCAGGTGGAACTGGAAAACTACGGTCTTAAAGTCGGGGCGCGCGCGCATCTTGGTAACACTATTGGTCGATGGCTGCCGCCGAACTAGTCTGAACCAATACACTATTTATAAGCGGCTATACTAAAATGTAACCTCATACCAAATGTCAGCCTCGTTTTTAGCATGATTCTTACCATCTGGTAGGAAGCTGTCTTCATCATCATTACAAATCCTACATAAATGTATACTCACGAATGACGTTGATAGTGAGTGTGCAGGAGGCCATATTTCCAGCTCCATCTTCAGCAGTGTAGGTGATTGGGTACGTGCCAAAATCAAAGGTGCCAGTGGGCTGAGGATAATTTGGGCTGGTGGTCACTGTGGGTTGAACACCACTGTCATCCGAAACGGTGGGATTGGACCAGGTGAACGTCATGACCTGAGTGATCTCTCTGACGTAACCGAAGATGTTTGCAGGGCAGACAATGGTTGGAGGGGTCGTGTCCCCGCCTGAGACTAAGACAAATGGAAATGGAACTGTTGTTATGGACTCTTTGAGTACATCAGATGGGGCAATTGTGACCGCTCACAGTGTAGTCCATTGGAGAGAATAAAAGGGGCACTCAAATCCCCGAAATGTTAATGTTTTGGAGTGTTTACTTATCCTATTTCAAACATCTGGTTGAAAGGAAACCTAATGTCGTACCGACAACGAGAAAAGACGGAAATAACCCGCCTTTTTATATAATAGCACATGACGAAGTACGCATCCGCTTTTACCTGTGTTTTCACAATTTCAGTCAATGTACAATACGTTGTGGAGACACTACACTCGAATTTACGAGGTATTTGTGGGGACCGAAAATGCTGCGGGGATAGCAGAAAGTCCCCATAACTCGGTCCTAATTTGCCTGACTGTTTAAAAGGATAGTTGTACTTTGTGTGGATGTTTTTATCCTATTTTTGTTAATGATCTTTCTGATTCTGGTTTTCGTTTCAGGAGGCAGTGTCCCCTTAAGAATTGACGCATTTTTTGCGTGCGCATGATCGATTTTATTTCGAGTAAGAGTTGTGACTTGCGATATAGCACACGAAAGCTACGTGCTGAGCAAAAAGTCCCTTGAGGCTAGCTCAGCACGTAGCCAGGTTCGCCGCACATGGTGAGATTTTCGCATTGCAAGGCGACAGACTGTTTCCCCCAGCCACCCCCCCCCCCCCGCCCTAAAAGGATGAGGACCGGAAGCTGGCATCCTTAAAGCCATTGATTGAATCACCTCTGCGCGCACATTATGATTGTTGTTTTCAAATCGCTGTTTAGCTCTGTGCATGGACGGTGATTAGTTACACGATTATCAAAATACTCACTCTTGTCTTACCACAAAAAATACGCAAAATCATCAGTGTCTCCATGAAGGTAACATTCAAGCATTTCAACCACTTAGGTTTTAAATACTGAACAGTAACTTCTGGTTGGGGGCAAATATTACCGTTGTGATTTTCAATTTAGGAGGCGGGATTTAGACCTGTTCACGTAATGCATACATCAAGAGTAAACAGCCTCGACTCTAAGCTTGCATGTGTGGCGAGCTTAAAGGGAAGATACAACATTTGCAAACATCAAAAAGCGAAATGAACAAATTATTACGAAATATCTTAATGAATTGTTAAAGAATGACAGTCTAAACATTCTGTAAAATCATGGCTCCTGGTGTGCTGACATTTTTAAGAAAACTTGTATTTTTCCAACACTGGTCGGCCGACCAGCGTTGGAAAAAAACGGCTTTTTCTAAAAACAGCTCCTAATTTTCATATTTACTTATTCCACATTTCCTTTGCAATTGCTTACACGCCTGTGAAGGGGTACAAGCCTGTAGACTGATACTCTGACCGAACAATTCCCCAAGTCTAATTTCTCCATTTTATCTTAACCCTAAATGGGCCGGGGCAGAATCTGCTTTTTCCGCGAAAGCCTCGAATGATAAATGTCACGACCTGAGCTGTTATGACTTTAAGCCTCGAGCCTTGCACATCTTTTGATACCAAAAACATAAACATCGGACCACGGCGAAATATTTACCGGCGCAACGCGCCGTGAAAACTGAATTTCCCCATATGTGTAGTGTACACAGAGCAGAATTACCATTCATGCATATGAATAATGAATTAGCCACAATTCCAAAACCCTTTGACCTATAGTCATGAAACTTCTTGGGTATGTTCATGATAAGTTATTGATATGCATGTACCGAGTGTCTTAATTTTGCGTGAATCGATGGCCGAGATCGTACGGGAGGGGCACGGAATCCACCCCCCCCCCCCCCCCCCCGGCTGAGAGATGGTCAAAATAGCCCAGCCGGGGTCAGGAAACCAGACTACAAAAATATGGTTGGTTTTCTTGGATTTTCCGCCATCTCCGAACCCAAAACGTGAAGCAAGTCAGTTTAACAATATTTGCTATTACATACTAATCCTCCAAATCCAGTTATTTAAATTGCAACAAAAGACGTAAAGTTGCCGACTCCAAGTTATCAGACATTTAAAAATAGAAAAGGCCGGGGTTAATGATTTTGGGCAACATTTAGAAGGCGAACGACTTTCCCTTAACAGTTGTTGACAAAAACCGCCCGATCATAAATCTCCTTTAAGTTTCATTTTAAAAAAAATGGCGTCCTATATTCCTCCTTTAAATAATACAAGCAGTTTGGGCCTTTTTTAACGATACTAAACATCCATGTCGTGCCCTCATTTGTTGTTAATGCCTTCAACAATTTAGTAGGCCATGTTGCTTTTGTGTTTCATTAAGAACACTCAACCAACCGGTTCTTTTCAGAACCAAGCATCTTCCAAGAATATCTTTCCATATGGTGTTACCCGCAAACTTTATAATTTATTTAAGAAGTTGAATTACAATCAGTCGGAAATTGCCTAGACTGACAGAGAGGACGAGCCAGCTACCAATACAAAGGCCCAAAGCTGCGTACAGGCGTACTTTGACTGAGGATCAGACCAAACATTAATTTGTTATGAAATATGAAAAACAGTTAAATTAACAGAGGAACCACTTCAAAGTAGCAACACAAATTGTATCATGACATACATCCAAGCACTAACCTGTTCGAACTTGATGAACTCCGACAAGAAATGAGTAGTAAAAAACTGCCAAAGCAAATCGCAAAGAGACCTTGCCTTCCATATTTACGGATCCTTAACCTCCGCCCCGAATTCGCTTTCCTGAATGCTACTATGGCGTATACCGACAGTCCTGATCTGTTATTGCAGTGTTCTGCACTAACTGTACTTGCAGTGGAAACAGGAAACGGCACAACATTTTTTGTTTTCTTTATCGCTTCAGTAGGTTTGTTTAATATATATATATATATATATATATATATATATATATATATATATATATATATATATATATATATATATATATATATATATATATATATATATATATATATATATATATATATATATATATATAACACTCCCTTTCATCCCTTTCATAGCACTCCCTTTCAAAAATACAAGAATGCCAAAAATAACTGGTGCCATGGCCTGAACGTCACGTCAATTCAACTCGTTTTTCTTTTATTTTTGTTTCCTGGTTGCACTTGTACCGCCAATACGTGGTGCAATGATTGCACCTACTGCTAAATGCAAACAAGGTTCGCCATTTCTGGGTAAATGCTAAGATTCAAAGTTACAAGTGAGGCTTGATGTTGCCATGCAAAATGGCATGGTAAGGCACAAAATTGTAACCATGATTATGTGTAATAACATTCCTGGTGTTATAATTGCTAAGATTTTTATTTTTTACAGTATAAAATAGGCCCGTTTATAACATAGCTTACATTTTGTAGCGTACGGTAGGCCTTCAATTATTTGGGGTTGCCTAACATTGCAATTTCACTTGATGTAACCTTGTATGATTAATTGAAACATACATGTAAATAAAACAGTCAAATTATTTAAAATGGATTTGAGCAATGTATAAATTGGTACGTTTATTATTTACATATTACAGATTTATTAGCTTGTGCGTATATGTCAGCCATGTGCAAATAGCAACATGTGGAAGAATAATTACTTGTGGTAATTCCCACTTTCAAGATTTCATTGCATGGATTCGATTATCTATTATGTTGTTAACATGATGATGTGACCACTACGATATTGCATTAAAGGACATATGTCATGTAATTTTTAATGTAATCCTTGGAAATTCACCTTTGTATCCCATTCAGCTTCTTTGTAAGTTTCGTTGCCTGTTTGGTTTTTATGCTAATGCAAATGTCCATATTCATGAGCAAAAGTGTGGGGGAAAATGTTGCAACCTGACGCCACAAAGTATTTTCTTACAAAATTGGAAATGTCAAGTGTTGCAGCCATTTCAGCACAAAAAGTTGCCAGATATTTGGATTTTTTTTCAGTCGTAAATTCTCTTTTCCGTGTTGATTCGTTGTTGTGATAGTACAAGGCAGTAATTAGTGAGCGCAGTTTTCTCACAGATATTTTCAATGAGCAATTTTTTGGGTTCACTGTTTGAACAGAAAACCCCTAAACTGAACAGTGTCTTCCTGAAATGAAATTGCAACAACAGCGCCCTCAGTTGACCGGAAAAGCACGGAATATTTTAGATGTTTAAAAAATTGCACTTGTCAATAAAATTAACCACAAAGCGATATCAAATAGTTTTTATACATTTAAGAGGGGTTCTTTTTTATACTTCATTAGACCTACTTTGTGTTAGACGGACCTAGGCATTATGACAACCTGTGCGCCATCCTTCCTGAACTCGAGAGAACTTGATCATCTTGTAACCTTGGCAACGAAAAGCAAAACTGGATCGTCAAGGATCAATTCAAGAGGAATCATTTGAAGACAAGTGTAAATAACGAGGCTTAACTATAGCTGCCCTCGGAAAGTTAACCAAAAACCGTTGATATTTTTAGATGTACAAAATAAAAGTTTCGTTTAAATTAGGAAGAGTACCAATATAAACACCTTGTCTAAACTAGGCCTAAATACGTATTATCGCACGGGGTGAGCTGTGTACAGTACATTGAAAATGTGATTACAATTAAACTTTTAGAGGTTGTATCACCTGGTTACAACGCACTTTGATGGAACTCTTACTGTAACTTCTCAGATATACGATTTGACAAATGTATTCTGATTCCAATTAATTATTTTACTATACATCACTTGATAATTCTGTGTAATAAAATGCCTTTCAACGTTCTAAATTAGTAACATTGAATCAGATTAATGGTTTTTATATAATGTATATTATCAATTGTGAAAAGATTATATGTTTCAACATAAAAATAACTGCGCAAGTACCGCATGTTCTGAGTGAAATAATGGGTCGATCGATCTATATAGACCGGTCATCAATTAGTTTATACAATGGCCTTTGCCTACTATAATGGAATAGGTCTACATACATCCACTTTGAAATTATCCATCTGAGTATCAATGCAAAAGTGAAATTGATCTACCAAAATCTACCGCTCTCTTGGAACGATACATGATATTTATACGTGACTTACGTGTGATAAGAGGCTATAATATGTAACTAATTACCTACCAATTATATTTTGCTTCGTTGGCAATAAATTACAGTTCGGTTTACGATTGCCTGCGCATACTAATCTATGAAAAACGAAATACCAGTTTCGAGCAACCTAGTTAAATTTATCAAACAATGCGGCCTGGTTTGTCTTTATTTTTTTTTCCTTCTCTGTCGCTCTGAAAAAATCGTTTTCCCAAAAAAAACCCCAATGAATTACTTAGACAAACCATACCGTGGTTTTCTGAACTGGCAAACACTATTAAAACTGAACAGTGTCTTCCTGAAATGAAATTGCAACAACAGCGCCCTCAGTTGACCGGAAAAGCACGGAATATTTTAGATGTTTAAAAAATTGCACTTGTCAATAAAATTAACCACAAAGCGATATCAAATAGTTTTTATACATTTAAGAGGGGTTTCTTTTTTATACTTCATTAGACCTACTTTGTGTTAGACGGACCAAGGTATTATGACAACCTGTGCGCCATCCTCCCTGAACTCGAGGGAAAGTGATCATCTTTGAACCTTGGCAACGAAAAGCAAAACTGGATCGTCAAGGATCAATTCAAGAGGAATCATTTGAAGACAAGCGTGAATAGATGCCCTCGGATAGTTAACCGAAAACCTTTGATATTAGATGTCAATACAAAATTACAGTTTCGTTTAAATTAAGAAGAGTACCCATAAACACCTAGTCTTTTAATTAACTATGTAGTAAGGCCTACATTATGTATCATCGCATGGGTTGAACTACTTTTGTAGGTTGTATTACCTGATTATCGGCTGAGCCTTCGAGCTTTAAATACCAATACAGTCAAGTGACATTTTGATAAAATTCATTTGTAGCTTCTTATATGTAGATTTGTAGTTTTCAAGCTTTTTCATTAATTATTGGTTTTACCACCAAACACGATATTTCCGTGTGATAAAAGGCTATTTTCCCTTTCTAAATTGGTAAGATTGAACCGTCCCGATTAAAGGTTTTCATACGATGTTCAATAACAAATTTATAACTTAAACAAAAACGTAAAATATTACAACAAAATATCTGCATAAATACGGACATTCAGCGTAAAATAGTATTACGGGCATACGGGCGAACAGACCGATATGGGCCGACCATCAATTAGGGTATACATATCAAAGGTATTCATATCACCTTTAAAATTAATATCTATCTGAGTATAGATGTACAAATGAAACTAATCTATACAATTTACGCGTTCTTGAGATGATACATGACATTTCTCAAATTAGGTTTTGCCCTTCAGTTTTGCCCTTCAGATTGAACTGTCCCGATTAAAGGATTTCATACGATGTTCAATAACAAATTTATAACTCACAACAAAAACGTAAAGTATTACAACATAAAAATATCTGCATAAATACGGAACGGAACATTTCTGTGTAGTAGGCCTGAGGGGCTATTTTATTAATATGTTTCTATCTAATTAACATTTTATTTCCTCCAAGCAAAAAATAAAGTGATACCTTTAAAAAAAATGCTAGAACGTACCTTGATTTAGGCCTACAATTACCTGAACGAAATACCCGATCAACTTAACTGTGAATTATAAGCTCCCACCATTCTCAATGTATTCATGCAATTATGCTCAGGTTGTTCCTTTTTTCCATCGTGAGCTGGAAAACGGTCCGCCCTCAAAATATGATAGATTTATGTTTCCTTTTTTCCGGGAAAAGTAAAGTGTTCTCCTGAACCCCACTACTATATATTTCAAAAATACAAGTATGAAAGATTTAGGTTGTACACCTTCATAAAACTAAATTAAGCTGTAAGCCTACTTCGAATAGTATTTTTCAAGGAAAAAAAACAAAAACAAATGAGAACTGTATTTTCTGTTGAAATATTTGTCTCGCTCAACATATTTCTGTAGTTACAGCCGCAGTTATTTCATACAGGTGCCGTGACGAAATTCTCAATTATCATCAAGCTCCGGGCGAATGATGGAACTCTTCCAATCAGCCTCATCCAAGACGAGGTACGTCTGTGCAAAGGGGGAAAAAAAAAAAAAAAACGTGCGTTATGTTTTCCCAACAGATTATGCTGACAAAGCGTAAACATTAATTTTTACGACACTTTCGTGGACCATACCAATCCACTCTCAAGACAAGTCAAGTTGCTGGAGGTCAAGATTATTTCCATCCAGCTAAGCTTTGCAAATAGGCGAACTTAAGCAATGCAACCTAAACTATAACCCGCCCAAATATGCACCAATTTCCACCCATATACGCTTACGCCTTTACCTGACACCCCTTTGAAACAGGTGTTCCAGATTTTGGTTTCTGACATGACAGGTATTTTAATATTTTGTTGGCTACACTACAACACTTTAACTTTAACCCATCCAACCATCTAGCAACTCCAGACACTCTTTTTCACCCATAATAGCTCGTGTCTTTTTCATGATCAAAATGATTGATCTCACGTGTTCTCTCTTGTTGTCGGTCATTCTTTTAAGGATGAGTGTCAGATCAGAGAAAGTCGGTCTGCTCTTCGGATCCTTATCCCAGCATCGCTGCATCAGAGTGTATCTGTAGGCATAACATACTGGTGTTAATGAAGCTTTAGCGAAACAATGGCAATAGGGAATGAACAGTAGGAAGTCTGCATGGTGATATTTAGGCCTACTATTCAGTTTGGGAGGTTGATGCATGCAGGGCCGTACCTGCACACCCCCCCCCCCAAAAAAACAAATTGCGAAATATGACTCAAGAACGCATCTCAATTGGACAGTAGGTTAGGCCATGGGCGTCGCGAGGGGGGGGGGGCAAGGGGGGCACTTGCCCCCACCCCCCACCACCCCTGGAAAAGCAAAAAAAAAAAAAAAAAAAAAAAGGAAGAAAAAAAAAAGAAAGAAAGAAAGAAAAAGAGGCGCGAAGACAAAGTGGTGTAAATTTAATGAGTTGGGGGAAGGGGGCAAAATGTCCCTGCCCCCCTCTAAAAACTGATAAATCGAGAATGTGTTGAGAAATACAAGCATTTTTTGGCAAAAACAAATGTTTGCCCCCCTCTAGAAAAAATCCTGGCGACGCCCATGGGTTAGGCTCTGATATAAACTATTCTGCTATTGAATTATTTTGTTAGGGTATTTACATTTCCTCGTCACAGTTGCTCGGCTTTGCCATGCGGTATCTTTCCCTCAACTTGCCCGCCAATGACTTAGTTTCAATGGACGGGTAGGGTGTGCCACCTAAAAACAGAAAAATCCACCAACAATTACTAGATGGACACTGGTCTTAATGGCTGAGCATGCTATACGTTTTGACCATTCGCAGTGGAAAGTATTGTGCGATTTCAAAGATAGCTTACACCACAAATTTAAAATCCCAGATAAAAAATCCCAGAAGCTTACACAACTTTTAGTCTGCATTTTAATCTACACTTATCAACAAAGAGTGAAATAAAATTTCAAGAAATAGACTCAGTTTTGAACTTCATGTATATTTATATGATTTTGAATACTGGCATTTCATTATAAGTACATGAGGTTTGGAACTTAATGCATAGTGAAGCAGGTTTGTCATACAGTAAAACAATCAACAGTGATCTTACCCAAAGACGCAATCTCCCACAGGAGTATTCCGAAGGACCATCTAATACATTTTAATAAAATAAAGAAAAATATTACACTAGTTTTAATTTTGATGAACATAGCAAACCAATGCAAATGTGAGTGATACTGTAAGTTTGTGAATCTTTTTACACTTTTGGTTGTTTATCTTTATTTTCCCGTTTAACGTGGTATCAATCACACAATTCCTCAGTTATTATTTTTGCCACTTCATAAACTTTGATCAAAATTATACAAAAAATTGGTGTAAGACAAGTTTTGATTGCACGACTTACACATCGCTCTGCGTTGTGTAAGTTTGATACATCATAGATTCAATGGAGAGCCATCGGGTGGGTACACGCTTCTGTTAGAAGAAGAAGAAATTGTCAAATAACAATTGAGTAAAGGTAATCCATCAATCAGATCATTTTTATGGGGCAGCAGGCAGTACATGGTGCTTTGAAAATAGGTAATCCTGCCTTGATATGGCCAGATGACTATACGTTTACCAGCAAAACGCGTGGTGTCAGCTTCAAGTAGAACACGTGCTTTGTAATGATGCCTTGGTTTACTTTCCAGGGTCACGCATCATTGCGCATCATTGTCTTGAAAACTAAAATTGTAATCAGTGAAGAATACCGGCAACAACGCCATCAAGGTGTCATCTGAAAGCTCTTAGCTTTTACTTTATTACTAAAGCCCATTGAATGTTCAGTACAGGATAGTGCGGCCATATAAACCCTTTACAGGATTTTCGTTTTTTGGAAACACCCTGTATAACCGAACATAACACAAATGAAACAAATAATAATTATATTATATGAACTTACAGTTACAAAAACAAGAGTGAACAATTTCTTTTTAAACAAAAAGCTATAAGAATGAGTAACTTAAAAACCTTTCCTCATTCTGATAAACTATAGCCGAAGGCTGCCTTCTAAAGAACCAACAGAAGATTCCGAGTGATTTGAACCATAATTACGAAAAGGCACCTTTGAAGTCTGAACATAAACGTCCTCCCCTCGGGAAAGTCCAAAATCAGACACTTTGGCAGTCAGGTTTTCTCCAAGCAAGACGTTCCTTGCAGCTAAATCTCGGTGAATAACCTGCCAATAGATAACACTTCAAGCTGTAAGTTTGTAAAAGTAATGGCGAGACACACAGCCGCTCACTATAACAAAAATGCTTTTCGAAAACTTCAAGTAATTGTATTCTGTCGTAAGGTTTTCGGAGCCTTCCTTTTCTTGTCCCTATGTCCCTATACACAGTTGACACTGTATTGACACTTAACCCGTTGAACCCTAGACAGTTGACACTTATATTTAGATAAATACAACTTCTTTTGAAAAGCCATTGTCGGTCAATTAACTGTCTAGCTTAAGGGTAATCATACAATCCGACGATTGGTTAATTGCGATCACCTTAAGTTCGACGATTTATAATTTTGATGATATTTTACTGAAATAAAACACACGTAGTCCAACTGTTAGTCTCTGTGTCTCTCAATAATATCCCCTAAAACCTGCCACCCTCTAACTATATAGCTTTAAAAACCGAGAAAGGAACATTATACTGAGGTCTCACCCCTGATATGGCTAGATGTTTCATTCCCTTGGCAACATCGAAGGCAATCTTCACCAGCTGGTCTGGGGACAAGGCTTCGTCATCCGTGGCTGACTGAGAGCGAGCCGTGCGCAGGTAGCTGCGCAGATCACCATTTGGCAGATACTCAAGTGCCACTAATAATAAATCTTTGGAGAATAAAAATGCGAAATGAAGATACCATTCGTTCCGTGAAAATTTGATGTATTTACTCATTTACTTTTTCATTGATACCTATCCCCCTCCCGTCATTAAACCCAGTATAGACTACACTGCAAAACATGTGTTTAGCAATTAACCACTTTTGAAAACACTTTTGTTTACATCAGTTTGTACACATATTTAAATTACCTCACGAAATAAAGATCAGCCCATCCTTGGAAAATTTCATATCAAAACTTAAGACACACTTGTTTAATGCTTTCAGAAGCGCATAGAGACCTTTTTTGTGCATATTGCGCTATATCAATCAATCAATCAATCAACATTTATTTCCATAATGCCAAAGAGAAAACAAGACAATAAGAATTGTTTCTTATTATTATTATTATGTTGAAACACTAAGCATGTTTTAAGTAAGGATGTACAGTGTTTAGCGATTTATTGTTGTTTAGGAATTGAACACATAATGTTTAGCTTCTAAACATGTTCAGAGCTCAGTTTGCAATGTGTTTCAATGCTAAACACAGTTTTTAGAGTGTATCTTTCCTCGTCCGCGTTACATTTTGCATGATGTACCTTGATGGTGACACGCCCCCAGAAGGGAGACAACATTTGGATGATAGCCGATAGAGGACATGGTTCTGAATTCCTCCATGAAGTCAGCCCTCTCCTCTGGTGTGGCATTACCTGAGAAACGAGGGGCACGACGAAAGCATTACTCAAATTAAGAAGTGATTTTTTTTATCTGCAAAGAAATACCTAAACCTCGCCCTCAGGGACCTGCCAATAGTTACTTGTAATAATTTTGTAAAAAGGTAAATAAACAAACGTCGATTCTCGAAAATCTAAATTTTAAGTTGCCTTGTTTTTTAAAGAGATACCTTTTTGAAAAAAAAAATTAGTAATGACACGTTGAAGAAGTAAAAAAGATGAAGATGTTATACAGTCTTTCTTAAGCATTGATTATTTTAAATTAATGCGAAAGTCGCCGTAACATAATGGTATACCTTTGAGTATCTTGATGGCTGACTTGGTCATTTTCCCGCCTTTTTTCACGGCTCCAGCCCGGACTTCCCCAAAGTCTCCCCTGCCGAGTACCCGATCCTCCACCACTAGATTGGACCAGGCAATCTCCCACTTAGCCGCCCATGATGGCAGGCCGACATCCTCGTAGACCGTGGACGACATACCTTCTATCCTCACTTCGTATGTAGTTTCATCATTCTGATTTTACAATAGGAAGACGACATGGATGTGTCACTAATATCACTATTAATCACTAGATATCACTACTTAAAAACCAACTGTTGGTTGGCTAAGACTGATTATTGCTATGGTAAAGTGGTGTATACTGGGGTGCGCGTTATGGGGAGGGAGCAGCATGGGCCACTTGCTCGATGCCTGTCTGCCCCCCCCCCCTCTCGTGCTCCCCCCCCCCCCCTCGTGCCCCCCCCCCCCTCTAGTTTCGGGGAAGGCAAAAATAAGCTTTTTAGTTTTCAAAACCTATTGAGGACCCTTAAAGAAAACAAGGCCTCCGATGAGTGCCCCTTTCGCAAAGTCGATCCTACAAGACGCAACCGACACATGCGGTTGATTAGCGCCACTACTTTTTTTTCTCGAAATGCTGCATTATATTCAGGTCCCGTTTGTATTTTTATAGAGAGTTATTAGGCCCTATTTCTCTGCAACTAAAGAAAGATATCAGAATAATCATTGGACATGCCTACCATGGGTATATCCTGGGCTGACCTGTCGTCACGACGCTGCATCCGATTCCTTGCGCAGTATATTATGATGACGGCTACAACCGCTACGACCACCAATGTGACCACAACACTGACCACGGCTACGATGACTTCATTGCCGGATTCGCCATTCACTTACAAATAAGAAAACAGGACGTATGTTAGCAACTGTCATCTTAAAATAGAAAACATGTAACTTGTTAACAAATTAATATCATTAGCTTTCCCCTGCGATACATCAAAATGTTAAATGCACTGAGTATTAAACAACCTGGGTCGGGCCGGTTTGGACAACCTCGCCCTTTTCATTTGCATTGAGAAATTACTTTCAAAAAATAAGTTCGTGCATTAAACTTGTAGTCCATCATTTGCAGCTATCCGAAAAGTAACTGGCGTAATTATTGTTGAAAATTATTGTCGCACAGGAAAAATCTTGCCACAGCTGTTTCGTACAAAGCGCAGAAAGTTATTTTTTGCGAATAGCAAACACTCGCACTGCGTATATTATCACAAGTTAACACGATAATCTGAACTCCGGCGAATTTCGCAGCGAACGTTTCGTGACGTCTGATTCGCTTCGTTTTCTTTAACGTGAAATATGAACCGGCGTGGAAACTGATGGTGAACAATCTGACGTCATTGCAACAAAATAATACAGGAACTAATCTACCTGCAGAAAAACTCAAACAAATTAAACTAAGTAATGTGAACAAACACACCAACAAAGAAAAGACTTTTAAAAGGTGCAAAAAGGGAGCTGTGTCAAAGGAAAAGATTTTATTATAGAGATTATGACTTCTCAGATTTGTAATCTTACTGGTACTGGTCGTAAGCGGCTTTGCTGCTGTTGTTGTTTGAATAGTGGTCGGGTTTTGCATCGTCGTTACAGACTCTGTAGTGGGGTCTGGAGTTGCAAAGAGAAAATACAAGAAATACCTTATTATAAGAAACCAATATGTGGGAAATTTCACGGGGCAGGTCCGTTCATGTTACGTGGAAATGTAACGCTGTTGGGTCATCAACATTTTTATTAAGAAGCTTAAAATCATATCTTGGTGTTTTTCCGGGAACCTAAAACTTCATGAGCTTGCTCCAGAGGGTTCGATTCCCGCTCAGGTGCACATGTAGTTGGGGGCGTCTTATTCGCTACCTGTTTTCCACAGGTTTTCCAACTTGAAGAGATTATTTTCCTGGGGTTTTCAACTTCTAAAGGTAACATTTCCGGAATGTCTTCTCTCTACAAGTTCCCACAGGTTTGCGAGCTACAGTGCCATGGGGGCGTCTGAGGAGTCATCGATTTTATATTGGAAATGAATAATTTTAAGAAAGCAAGGAATCGAACCCATGACCTGCCACTAAGATGTCTTCCAATCAACCCAGGTTTGTTGCTAAATGTTCCTTGCAGAGCAAAGACAGGGGATGGAATTTCTGCTGGTCCCAGAGGGCCAGCCTAATGCCGCTTCTTGCAAAAAAAACCCAAGTGAGTGAGTGACTGAGTGTCACAGTGGCCAAGACTGGCTGTAGGCTGGCGAAGACAGCCTGGCAGTGCTATCGTATAGGATTACCACTTATAATGTGGACCATTGTGTAGCCCAGATGCAAAACTTGCAGTAAATAGCCATTCTGAATCAATGGAATATAATTGTGTACGCCCTGTACGGTCTGGTGTCCTCTTGATACCTATCTCACTGACTGGCACTTGTTTCTTAGACTGGTCTCGGACCAGTTTACTTGGCTTGTCTAGTCTTTTTCTTTCTTTTCCACGTGTTTGCTATTCTAATGTGCTTACCTTCTATGATGCCCGTGTAGTTGCAGATTGGAAGCATGTTGGGCTGCCAGCCTCCTCCTGCTTGACAAGTGACTTCTGCTTCACCAATAATTCTGTGCAACGGCAGGCAGAGGTAACTGACACTTGCTCCAGCTGGCAGAGCCTCAACGAACGAGCTAAAGGAGTTCTTGACAAAACCAGGATGGAAGCAGTCTGATCCTGGAACAGGATCTGTGGATGAAAAAAACATTGGGATTTTTGATTAAATACAATTATAAGGTTATGACTTATAGGGAAACAGACCTGCGTACAACGAGGTCAAATTGTCTCATCTACAAAGGAACTTATATCGTTAAGAAGCAGAACAAATAGCGGTTTTTTTTTTACGGGGAAAGGAAACCTTAGAGGGGTAGCGCAAAGAGGTGGTAACAAAGTTGCGTAAGGATGGTAACGTGTGATTAATGGATTGTTTAGTTCGACAAGACAGCAGCATCCTTGTAAATTATCCAGTTAACAATGTTCGAAAACTCCTGGATTTTCAAAATAAGTGACTGTAGCGTATGCAAACCTTGGAATTCATAGACTTGCATCTTGAACTCTCCACCGCAGGTAGTGCTGCTGTCTCCGGTGCAGGGAGACGAACAGTTCCCTACGCCTTCAGTACTTCCATACTGAAACGGGTCCGAGAGGGCGCCCCCACAGAAGCACATTTTCCCTGCCTCCAAGGCGTAATATCGAAGGTTTCTCCTCCTACAAAGATCCCGGCAGAGGTCGATAGTCATCATATCCATACTTTCGCAATACCGATGCTCTATTCCACAGGACGCATAGCACACGTCGCTGGCATCCTCACATGTTATCAGGTCTGATAATGCCCGTTGGTGAGTGTCGAAATAACAGCCATGGTTGATATCTGCATAAAGAGTGGGAAATGGTAATTTCATAATAACTTGCTCCCGAATCACAGTGCAGTGGACATGTTTTTGTGGTCAGATGTCAGTAAGCAGTGCTTGTTTTATGGTCACATCCATGTGTTGTGATCTTGGGGGACGGGGTGACATTTTTCCTCCGGAGGACGCCAATAGTTTTACAGGTCTCGGTCCCCCTCCCATGTAATTTATTATACTAGTACGCTGCATTTTCTACAAATTGTGGGTTAGTTCTAAGTACTGTTTGTAAATGCGGGGAAGTGACATAAAGGCGCATGCGTTGGTGCTTACATTCATGTATGAGCGGATCCGCCTGTAGTCAGATAGGGTCCAGCCCCCGCCCTTACCCCACCCTTTACCCCACCCCTACCCCACCCCTACCCATTACCCCACCCACGCGTTCAAGTTTCTCAACCTGTTGCCCGGCATTAATGTTCACAAGAAATCGCCGCTCCGTAACCCCTAAACAAGAAGTGGGCAAGACTTATGTGAAATAATGTCACACAGATTGGTCGATTTGAGAACATTTCAATCAATGCAATATTTGCACCGTTTACTCACCCGTTGGGTCCTGACATAATCCTCCAAACAAGACGCAAACCAGCACCGCTACCACAGAGTAAAGATATAGATGGACTTTCATCTTCATGCCTTGGATACGTTCTACGTGGTTACTGATGTCAGCACTCGTACTACGATTGATACAGATTGATCACTACAAGATAGCGATGTTGCCAAGATTTATGTTTTTATAAAAACACCAAAGTTGTTGCTCATACGATTGCGTTTATTAATATACAGTTTACTTCCTCGATCATGGCGTCATGGTTTTTTGAAAAGAGTCAGTCAGCCGTGAAGTGCAGGTTTATTACAATTCACCTGTGCACCACTTTGTTCAGAGAACGCGCATGCGTACTGGGTGATTTCATGACCTGGGTCGTTTCAAATATGACGACGTACGGCACCGTCCCGCACCCGTTCATCAGTAGAGGAAAATCACATAAATTCCTATACAAGTTACAGACAAAACTCATGCAAAGTTATAAGAACACAAAAGATGAATTTTACAATAATATTATGAGTTCAGAATGTCCAATTTTGAAAACCATTCTGAATAAAAAAGAGATTTTAAAGAAAAAAAAATACCGATCTTTACTTAAAAAGATTTTCACAGCCCGCATAAGGCCTACAACGCCGTAAATCAATCTAGTTTCAAATCCATTCCCCGAATATTCTTGGGAAACAAATGAAGTACACTGCCATGTGCATAAAGACTAGTTGAAAATAATGATATCATTTTCTAGTTATGTATTGTATTAAATAACAAGTGTTTTCTGAATTTTTGCAAGTTTTCATTAAAAAATGCTGTTATACACTCAGTGTTATCCGAGAGCTTGCGAGAACATTTTCACAAGCTTATTAATTGGGCTTTTATATCCTAGATTTTGATAGTGATACATGCAGAACTTCATTAAAATATTGGTCCTGCCATTTTGGTTTCCTGGGATTTTTTTACTCGCCCTGCAGTGCAGACGTCTTAACCACTCGACCACCGAGCTTGCCACGCCGGGGTCGGCAAAGGGCTAAACCCAATATAAACTTTACATCTCCCCAATATAAAACAGGGAAAAAATATGTGAAATGGGCCTGTCTCTATATCATACATTTTTTTTCAACAGAGGCCCGAAAACACATGGGGTGAATTGAGATGGATTTCGAGGAGGAGGAGGTGATACCTACAGACGGGTCCTACGTTGTGGAGCGACTTGGTTTCAGCATGAAATACCCCAACGGAAAGACTATATTTGAGGGGAAGTAAGTGGGTTTTGACAATGCCGAATTGTTTATATTTTAAAATATCAATTAATAAAAGGCATTATACTGTCTTGAGCAAATTCTGAGGCCGGCGGAGTATTAACAGATGTGATTCGAAGGTTATTGAAGTACCCTTACACATTGATACAATATAGTGTAACTTCTGAACATTGGAGAGTTTGTAATTTTTTTCCAGAAAGTCAAAGTTTAGTTACAATCCGATGCAAAACTTCAACCGGCCGTTTGAGGCTTTGATTCCTTTTGGTATAGGCCTAACGTTTTGAAAAAAGGCAGTTGATATTTAGCCGGAGACGGCAAACCTGTAGTAAACGTTAGCTTGCCGGATATGCACTGTACATGCGCAGTTACTGTTTTTTGTACTTTGACATTTTCCGGTGACAAATTTTAGTCTGGCTCCATGCCAACATTATCGTTGTAACTTCGTAGTCACAAGATGAAAATCAGACCATTTTACAATTTCGGATTTTATTTCCCATTAAAAAAAAACTCCAGAGCCACAAATATGAAAAAGAAAATGTAATACTCTGCAATAAAATGTTTGAGACATGTTAGAATAATAAAAGAAGAATATTTTTTATTTTGGGGGGGATGGGGGAGAAACCTTAAAAGTTTCGCCAGCGGGGATCTAACCCGTATCTTCCTGCTCATGAGATCCGTTGGTTATCCACTAGGCCAAAGGTGCTACACAACCGTTGGTGGTAATTTAATATATCTTATAATTCTGCCCTATCTTAGAGAGTACAGCGCCCTCTGTTGATAGGGATTGCCACCAGCAAAATATCCACTATCTTTAGAAAATCGTGCAAAACAAGCGTTACTGTGTAAATAGTATAGGTTTTAGTTATATCGTTCAAACGTTACATTTCTACAATCTCAAACTCTTAGATTTAAAGAAAGTAATGTCCCTAATGAATTTGTAATGTTTTGTTTTAACGATAAAACTTCTTATTGCGATTTCGGGCGTCTGCAAACCTCTGATTTTTTTCTTCATTTTGTGCACAAAATGAACCCGCCCTGAGGAGAGCCGAATTTATTGTCTGGCAGCCAATATTAGATTGTTTTTGTGAAGAAATAATTCAGTAACTAAACGTCGGTGGCTTTTTGCGATTGATGTCTCATTTAAAAGTAAATAACTACCGTAATATTAGGACATTATTTTCTGGGGAAATAGCAATTGAAAGAGCTTTCGAGGTGAAACTCGAAAATAGCATGGGAAATATACATCAGTAAGTATTATATTTTATAACTGCTTCAATAAACGGGATTTTTCAACTGTTTGTAACCAGAAATGTTCGTTACAGCCCCCTCATTCAGTCAAAAACAATTATGGCCTATTATAGGCACAAACAAATTTGTCTTTACGTTTGTCCGTTGTACATGTACATCCAGCCAAGCGCGTCATACACAAGCGCACTTTATCGGACATCGATCACGGTTGTCATTGGCGGTCAAAGCATCAAGGGGCGGGGTTTAATGGAACGGTCAAGAAAATTGAAAGGGAGGAGGGGAAATATCAAGTAATGGACTTTATCTCCCATTTTAAACAACCTTCGTAAAATTAGACCTTTATTTATTTTCCCTATAGTTATCATAGAGAAAGGAAAACTGAATGTTTATCAATTTTATTGTAATTTACTGTCGGTAGATTTGTTGAAGCGTATAAGTGGTCTGGGTTCTGCGATTTTTCGACAAGCACCAGGAAAAGATAGAGGCTATATTGCATCATTTACACATAGCATCCATTTTCGTCTCCAGTCACCCAATATTTCTTTACAACAAAGACGCGTCATATGGACCCAATTACCTATTACTATTGCAACTAAAAACGTATAGCTCAGAAAAAAAAAATCCAAAACATGCTTTCTGGCTGGTTTGACGGTTCCATGATATTGTTTAAGACTCACGTGATCACAGGCAGCCAATCAAAAGATTCCATTTTGTTTCTTAAACTTCGAACTCGGCCAACATTATACGATTATTGAAATCTTTGAGTCAGTTAGCTTATGGTCAGGGATTATTAATGAAACATTATAAAACCCAAATCCACTTGATGCCATTGTTCCATCCCCAGAAGATTGTTTTCGGGGTATTGTTTTTGAGCCAAAATGAAGAGTGCACAAATGAATACCCATTTTAGTCTGAACTTTTAGTGGGCGGGACGTCCATTTGGAGAAAAAAAATAGCGAAATAAGCCCCAAAGCAGAGTCATTTATCAAGACTTTTTGCAGTAGATGAACACTCGAGTTAAGAATTACATCGGCACTTGGGTGAGGTGTCCAAATGCGAAAAATAAAAGTGAAATTATCGGAATCGGTTATTTATCTTACGGGCGAAGTCCCCACTTTCTAATGTCATGGCTCCGCCCAAGAGGGTCAGCAAAATGGTATCAGTGGTTTTGAACCTTCGAGTCATCAAGTGATCCTGAGAGGGAAAGATTCCCATATCTGGCCATCAATTGTCACCCTGTGCACAGACCGTATGAGACTGGTCTGAACATTTCCGAGTGTTTTCTCAGTAAATACTTCAATATTTTCCCTGCTAAATCTGACTTTTTGGGACATATTATCACTTTCTGATGGCTAATAGGTCACTGAAGGGGAAAAATAGTGATGGCCATATATGGGAATCTTTCCCCTGAGAATTTCAAAGAGTGTACCCAAAAATGTATATGCCCCCCCCCCCCCACACACACACAAGCGGTGGAGGGGTTCATGTTTAATTATTATGACTTACGTAACTTTATCTTTAGGCCTACCTTATGGTTGAAGGATTTCAAATGGGAAGAATTCCATACATGGACATCACTATTTTTTTTTACCTGCAGTGACCTTTCAGTCATCAGAAGGCGAAAACATGTCCTACACAAAGTCAAATTTAGCAGGGAAAATATTGAAGCATTTACTGGGAAAAAACCCGGAATTTTTCAGCTCAGTCTCATAGGGTTTGTGCACAGGGTGTCAAGTGATGTCCAGGTATGGAACTCTTTCCTTTCAAATATGTTTTTAAACTGGATTTGATGTTTAAAAAGCTAATATTATACCTTTTTCGTGATTTCGACGTCACATCAGATTCCGCTCCGGGTATTCCCGAGTATATTCCAAATCGCTGTGTGCTCTATAGATCATCTGCTGGTTTACATACGGGATATCAATTCATAATGTATCCGAAATATCGGAGAATTGTATTCCATAAGGATTTTAGTAGAAGGTCTTACGGCAAATTTCCCCTGAAATTGTTCTATGCGACGTCTTCAAGTTCACTATAAGATTCTCCCGATATGAGATCATCACTGCGAAAACTCTGCACTGGTAAAAGCAACTCATCGTCTGAACTATGTTTCTGCTAAAGGGGCCTCAGACCGCGGAGAATGCACCAAACCACCAACACACTCCTCGTGAAAACACACCGGACTGCACGTTTCCTTTAGACGAGCAACTAAAGAATTCAGGAGTTTTCATCTTGCCCGTGATTAAACAATTACGAATCCACGGTTTTTCATTTTCCTTGCATTACTTCTGAGCTTGATTACGTAAGATCTTCGCATACGCCCTTTCTGTAAATTTATAACCATGCTACGAATGCATGCCTTTGTAAGATTCCTTCTCGGCGCAATGCGCAACGAGAATTCTTAATTACGAATCCACACTTTCTCGTGTATTCTCCTTAACTTAGTATGTAGCTTTATCTTTCATTTATTGTTGAAGGAATTCAAATACGCGTTTAAACTGTGTTTCAACAATGTAATTAGAATAAATTACCAGCATGAAAAAATGGCGCTTCATTGTACCATTTCGTGATTTTTTTTAATATTAATAACAACAGGTACATTATTTATAGCGCTTTTAACTTAGATCAAAGCGCTTTACATTATTATTATCCCTGATCCAGTGACGCACCCACTTTTTTTAAAGTCCCACAATTTGACCTGCGTGATAATTATGTGGCCTATTTTCGAGTAGTATAATAGGGTGTAACCCCAAAACCCCAATTTTTTTGCGGCAAAAAAATTTGGGCATGATCAGGACAGTGGCGCACCCAGGATTTGGCTGGGGGGTCACATTTTTTTTTTAGAGCAGCCCAAAATTTTTGCCCGAAAAATTGGGGTTTTGTGGGACTTCTTGACATACTAAGTTAAGGAGAATACACCAGAATGTGTGGATTCGTAATTAAGAATTCTCGTCCCGCATTGCGCCGAGAAGGAATTCTTACAAAGGCATGCATTCGTGTAGCATGGTTAAAATTTACATAAAAGGGCGGATCTTACGTAATCAAGCTCAGAAGTAATGCGGCTAAAGCTTTCGTCAACGCAGTTAATATGATTCCCAACCTAGGCAGCAATTGCTTATGTTAATCCCCGAAAATGACCTGATTCGCATGACTAAGTCATACATTTTAAATACAGATTAGCTAGGCCTATAACGCCGGAAGGTCTTTTTGCGATGAGGTGTTTTTTAATAATTGAATTGTGACTCGAATTCATCAAATTGTGGGATCTGTCACTCAAAGGCCAAAAAAAAAAGTCTCCGGTTTCTGGTATGCGCGCGCGTCGCCGCAGCCATGCGCGTCGGCAAAATGAAAAAGTTTTTTTTTCAATACAAGATGATGTCTCAAAACCGCCAAACTCACTGGTTTGACTGGAATCCTGCTGCTGCACAATTTTAACGTGTTTTAAGATGGGGTTATGATCGAGAATAAGCTTTATGTGGCCTCTCTGGACTCCCATATATTTGCACTAAGTTTAGTCGGGCACCATTTGCAGTCATCAGCCGACATTTGAAGCCAAAAAAAAAAAAAAAACAGGTAAAAAAAAAAAAAAAAAAAGCGTCGCCGCACCACTTTTGGGGCAAGCTCCATACCAGAAACCGGAGACTTTTTTTTTGGCCTAATAAGGGGAATGAGAAATATGCCCACTGTCTTACAGACAGTATATAGGCCCACTCATGTTTAAATTGTGTAATTGTCAATATCAATTTTTGGACAAAAGATTTTTTTTCTAAATAAAGACTAGAGTGTGAGCATGTATTCAGAAAACACTTGTTATTTATCACAAGCCAGTCTTAAAGTCTTGCAGGGCATTGGGATTGTGTTTTGAAAGTTTCATTGGCACAATGATCAGGGGTAATAATAATCTAAAGATCCCACAATTTGATGAATTCGAATCACAATTCAATTATCAAAAAAACATGTCGAAAACATCTTCGGGTTTCTCCTTTATTGTGAATACTACCTCATCGCAAAAAGACCTTCCGGTGTTATAGGCCTAGCTAATCTGTATTTAAAATGTATGACTTAGTCATGCGAATCAGGTCATTTTCGGGGATTAACATAAGCAATTGCTACCTAGATTGGGAATCATAACTGCGTTGACGAAAGTTTCAGCCGCACATCCCCGCATCACGCTAAGCACGACTGACTGACTGACTTGGTTTTTCAAGCCGGAATTCGATCGCAAACCGACAGCTCTTCGTCCACCTCTGCCTGTATTGTCATCATGTCTCCTGTTACCGCCTGCCTGATGGCCCTGCTGACGGTGGGGTTCCTCGTGGCCAAGCAAGACGCCTCGGTGCTCCAAGAGGTACAAGCTGACGCCTTGGCGGTGGAAGAAGCCGAACGTGGCACGAGTGGTAATGTATCGCTAAACCCAGTCATTTTACTCCAACATCTTAAGCAGAATATCTGGGGGGGGGGGGGTATACACACGGACTTCCACACTGCAGCGTCTCAAGAGCAAAATAGAATAGTGGCTCGTTTTAAATCCTTTCAAGTTCTCTTTCTGGAAGGGGGATTTCAAAATGTGGCGATTTTAAAACTCGGGGCGGCTCTATTTTGTTTTTTTACGATGGGCGATGGGCACAGGAGAAATAATTTGGAAGCAGACATATCACCTTACATTTATTTAGTAAAGAGGCAGATTTTTTTTTTTCAAAGTAACTTTATGTAAACTGTTATTCATAAATGCAGTTAACCCATTCCTATTAGTCGGGAGCCCGTGGATGGCTTTTAACCGCTGATGAAACACTGGAGCCCACATGATGTGTGTTTGCTCCCACCACACATCTCCAAGGTTTCCCATAAAGAGTATGATTGTATTATTTCTGCCATTAAAAATTACTTTTCCCGGCTACTTTAAAACGTTTATCATTCAAATTCACCGTTTCTAGTATTCTAATTCGTCCAGGAGCATCGCTTAAGTGCAATTCTAATGTTTATTTTAGTCTTTTGTAAGACAGTTTCAATTCAGTTCAAGCAAATTCAAACAATGAGCACACGTTTTCGTGCCGGAGTATTCGATTTCGTCTCGCCTACGCCAAACCTTGTTATTCAGAAATCAAATTCGTCTAATTGATTTATATAAGACGAATTCGATCTCCAAATGCCATTCGGCAACAGCTGAGACGAATATTCTCGACCCGGTGACTAAAGAGGGTGACTGAACTTCGACATTGAACGGTAAATGACTAAATTTGAATGAGAAGTCTTTTAAAATAGCCGGAAAAACCTATAGATAATACATTGCCAGGGCTAAAATACCAGTGGTGGCAAGAACTTTTGTTGTGTTCATACATTGTAATTTGTTTAAAGGTATATGCAGAGATAAAAACCAAACTGATTAACCTAATTATTATGAAATACCTTACTTGACTGTAAGTGATTTTAATCACTAACAATGTCTCAATTTTCCTGTGCAATCATGACACCTGGTGTGCTGTCAGTTTCAAGAAAAGTGGATTTTTTTTGTAACAAAAACTAGACAACAAGAACAGCATTTGTTCTTGGTTTTTCCAACATCTATGAACAAAACAAAACTGCAAACAGGTCGGTGTAACAATAATAAATACTAACCCCCAAATCCACCCATTTATAACATTTATAATAACATGTCAGCAAAAGCAAATGTTGAACCTTCAAACAAATTATGCAGCTTTGGGAGTTTCACGACTCTCTTAATTAATGCCTCAATACGCCAAAGATTACTTTACCTTCTAATTAATAAATATGACGACGTATGTCCATTGTAATGGTATTTTAATTAGATATTAATTTGAGATCCATGAGCTTAATAATATGCATAATTCAATTAAGAATATGTATTGCAAGGTTATAAATTCATTAATATTCAAATGCTTCGAATATGACACAGATGTTTGTTATCACTCATAATTATGTATTATTCGGCAGATCCACCTTAATTAGATTATAAGGGGCAGAGAACTAATTCAACAAATATACGGAAGGGAACAATGAGATATATACGCAAATGAAAATTACATGAAGACGACACAGCAATACAAATTAAAGATATAGTCCATCATTTGTAATTTGTGCATTTTTTTCGTTTCTTTTAAAGCAACAAAAGTGTTCAAAATCTAATGAAGGATACTGAACAACTAACCTGATGAAGTTTCAGCTCAGCCTCAGATATATTCCGAGAAAAACAACGTTCTAGGATCTTAATTTCAAATCAAAAGTTGCTGAATCATGTTTTGAATTGTTTTGAATTGCAGCTATACGCGATGTTGCGCACTGATCCGACAAATTATAGCAACCGGGGGCGCCTGTGCGTCGTGCCAATGCTTGCGCGCGCTGCGCCGAATAACAAAACGAACTACTAATTTAAATTTTCCTACGGTGCGTCTTAAGACGCACCGTTGGAAAGGCCTTCTTTCGTTGATTACTTCAAAATGACAGCTTGCCAGAAATAATAATTTCACAGAGAGTTTACTCCACCTACTATCTTTCAACCAAGTATGTTTTTCAACAATAATTACGCCAGTTACTTTTCATTTGGCTGCAAATGATGGACTACAGCTTTAAGAGTCAGATGAACGAGCTAATGAAATGTTGCGCGTAATACGCGGGTCTTCATCAGAGCAAATCATGTAAACTCTTGGGAGGTTGAAATATCACGCCCTTTGTCAACATTCGTCACGCAAGGTTACCGTACAATTCGGGAGAGAGTGCAATAATATTCTTTGCTGAATAATTTTTACGAATATGAATGTCATAGTTTGATATTGGTACTGTCAATAAAAGCGTCAACGGAGAGGAAGCGACGGTAAGAAACCCTTGTTCCTTTGCGTCGCACCGTTAAAGCGGCGACACGGTATGCGCTTTATTCACGTGTCGGCCATATTAAATTGAAAGCGAGGTAAAATCTTCATTTGTGGAACTTGCGAGAAGAAATGAAAGTCATGAAATAAAGTTAATTACAAATTAATACCAGTCTGCTCTGATGAATAATTTAAAATCTGTCATTAAACAGACCCCTACAGTTTTAAGCCACATTTAAAAAAAAATGGTAGTGAGGCTTGAATATATAAAAAGTCTGGTACCGCCCCATTCAACGTTTCACAATTTATAAAATACAGTCAGGGAACACGCCCAAAAATGGCTTCGTCGTGAATAAGGTCCATGCCGCCATATACAGTAAGCGACTGTAATAAAGAAAAGTTCGTTGGTATAAACTATAGTTTTATCACCGTGGGTTCCATCTTTTTGGTGAAGAGTTAACTGTGGTCAGAATATATTAACGAAATCTTTTCATTATTAGTTTTTATTTCTTTGTTATGTTAACTTTGTCTAAAATGTACAACAGTGTCGGATAAGATTAGGCAGTTGACCCAAAATCTTGAGACGTGCGCAAACAACCAAGACGTGGACTGCTTCTTGGCTTACTGCGACGATGATATCCGAATGATGCCGATCAAGAGCCAAACACACATTGGAAAAACAGGTACGTTTTAGGTCAATAAATGGCATTAAAACTGAAAACTACTCAATTCCATCTTATGAAACTGTAATTTAACCCTATAAGGGCCGGGGGACGAAATGCCCCCCCCCCAACTTTTTTCTGCGATTGCCTTGAATAAAACAATTTGTGACCCAAGCCTCGAGCCTTGCGCATCTTTTGATACCAAAAACATAAAATTCGGACCACGGGTTGCCACGCAGCGAAAAAAAATTCGGCGTTACGACACAGACCAGAATTACCATTCGTGCATATGAATAATTAATTAGCCATAATTCCAAATCCCTTTGACCTATAGTCATGAAATGTCTTGGATATTCATGAATAGTTGTTCTCCGCATTTACCGAGGATCATAATTTGTCGCCTCTCGATCTTGGGGGGGGGGGTCCCCGGCTGAGATTGGTCAAAATAACCCGGCCCTTTTAGGGTTAATGTCATTATGAAAAGGGCCTGCCTCTGTGTTATCATTTCAACAGAGACCCGCAAACACATGTGGTGGATTAAGTTGGATGTCGTCACGACCTACACTGTGAAGGAGATCATACCTACAGACGGATCTTACGTAGTGGAATGGATTGAGATCTCCATGGTATACCCCAACGGAACTACCGTCTATGACGGAAAGTAAGTGGGCTTCACCCAGCACGATATGGGACAGAGGGGTACCCCCCCCCCCCAATATTCCTATGCCCTATACACACTCTAGACTATTTGTTACCCAACACATCCCCCTAGATATCACAAAAGAATCCCTGAGATTCTGGTAACACAATGACCAACACAAAAGAGGGGGGGGGGGGAGGGGTCCCACTGTCGACGTAGTAGGTTGCGACACTGTCGGATTTACATGTTTTAAAAATATTCATCAGGCCTTATACTGTCTTAAAGCGCGCATACTGAGTTCGGGGTAACAATGTCACGTGTCGTCTTTTTGGGGGTGGTGGATATTATCAGACGTGATTCGAAAGTTATCGAAGTACCGGACACATTGATATCAAACCATAGAGCTGTTTGTGGTAGATATGGATATCAGCATAATGAATCAGACTCAAAATTAATTGAGCTAATAGGCCTTTTGCGTCTTCACTTTAAACTTGTTTAACGTTTAAAACATTTTTAAACGCGTCAAAACGTTTGTTTCAAAAAACGTTATTGTACTCGTACTACATGTACTAGATTTTAGTGTACAGTTCCAATTTTACATGTTTAAAAATCTCTATTTTTCACATTTAGATGTGCTAAACCCTGGCTCTTCAAAAAATATTTTTGTTTTCTCCCAACGAATTTCCTAAAGGCTGGAATTTTTAAACACACTTTTTTCTCTTGGCCGTAAAAAGTGCCATGGCTGCAATGATGACAATTTCAGCCTGTTGTATACACCATTTAGATTCTGAAGTTAACTTTGACATGTTTCTCTTTCTTCGACTTTTTATTGACAGGGGAGTGAATGTTTGGAAGAAGGTCAACGACGACTACAAGATTTACATTGACATCGTTAATGACAACTAACACAGTGCAAATTTTAAAAAAAAACCGGAATAAACTTGAAGTCTTTAAAATGGTGCGTGAGTGAAAGAAACGGATTGAGCAAAAGTAATAAGTACTGAATTATGACTAATTTCTGAATTCATAAATTACTGAGGGTGTGTACTGATACAACCAAGACTAAGTAATACTGTCGAAATTCGAGTTTTAAATAAGTGGTGATGGGTCAAACATATTAAAGGTAAAGAAGTAAATATTGTAGATCTATTGTTTTTGAAATACAATTGGAATGAAATACCTGCATAAAATTGACATACAGGATATCAATTCATAATGTATCCGAAATATATCCGAAATATATCCGAAATACGGCAAATTTCCCCTGAAATTGTTCTATGCGACGTCTTCACTATAAGATTCTCCCGATATGAGACCATCACTGCGAAAACTCTGCACTGGTAAAAGCAACTCATCGTCTGAACTATGTTTCTGCTCAAGGGGCCTCGCACCGCGGACAATGCACCAAACCACCAACACACTCCTCGTGAAAACACACGGGACTGCACATTTCCTTTAGACGAGCAACTAAAGAATTCAGGCGTTTTCATCTTGCCCGTGATTAAACAATTACGAATCCACGGTTTTTTCATTTTCCTTGCATTACTTCTGAGCTTGATTACGTAAGATCTTCGCATACGCCCTTTCTGTAAATTTATAACCATGGTACGAATGCATGCCTTTGTAAGATTCCTTCTCGGCGCAATGCGCAACGAGAACTCTTAATTACGAATCCACACTTTCTCGTGTATTCTCCTTAGGCCAAAAAAAAAGTCTCCGGTTTCTGGTATGGAGCTTGCCCAAAAAGTGGTGCGGCGACGCGGCTTTTTTTTTTTTACCCGACTTTTTTGCTTCAAATGTCGGCTGATGTCTGCAAATGGTGCCCGACTAAACTTAGTATAAATAGGCCTATATGGGATTGGGAGTCCAGAGAGGCCACATAAAGCTTATTCACGACCATAACTCCATCTAAAACACGTTAAAAATGTGCAGCAGCAGGATTCCAGTCAAACCAGTGAGTTTGGCGGTTTTGAGACATCATCTTTCATTGAAAAAAAAACTTTTCATTTTGCCGAGGCGCATGGCTACAGCGACGCGCGCGCATACCAGAAACCGGAGACTTGTTTGTTTTGGCCTTAACTTTATAGTAGGCCTATGTAGTTTTATCTTTCATTTATTGTTAAAGGATTTCAAATACGCGTTTAAACTGTGTTTGAACAATCATTAGAATAAATTACCAGCATGAAAAATGGCGCTTCATTGTACTATTTCGTGATTTTTTTTTAATATTAATAACAACAGGTACATTATTTATAGCGCTTTTAACTTAGATCAAAGCGCTTTACATTATTATTATCCCTGATCCAGTGACGCACCCACTTTTTTTTAAAAGTCCCACAATTTGACCTGCGTGATATGTATGTGGCCTACTTTCGAGTAGTATAATAGGGGTGTAACCCCCAAACACCGATTTTTTTGCGGCCAAAAATTTTGGGCATGAGTTTTGGAAAAAAAATCAACTTCTAAAAAAGTTGCATAAAAATTGTGAACCCCCCCCCCCCCAGCCAAATCCTGGGTGCGCCACTGTCCTGCTCATTGGGCCAATGGAACTTTCCAAACACAATCCCAACGCCCTGCAAGACTGGCTTGTGATGAATAACAAGTGTTCTCTGAATACATACTCACACTGTAGTCTTTATTTAAAAAATAAAACCTTTTGTCTGAAAATTGATATTGACAATTACACAATTTAAACATGAGTGGGCCTATACTGTCTGTAAGACAGTGGGCATGTTTCTTACACATCCATTATTCCCCTTATTAGAGTGGTCCCACAATTCGAATCACAATTCATTTATGAAAAAAAAACCATGCCGAAAAACATCTTGGGGTTTCTCTATACCACCTCATTGCCAAAGAACCCTGCAATTGTATCGCCCTAGCTATTAAAAATCTGTATTTAGAATTTATGACTTCGTCACGCGACTCTGGTCATCTATGGGGACTAACATAAACCATTGCTATCAAAGTCACAAATCATAAATGCTCTGACAAAAGTTTCAGCCGCACATCCCCGCATCACGCTAAGCACGACTGACTGACTGACTTGGTTTTTCAAGCCGGACTTCGATCTCAACCGACAGCTTTTGGTCAACCTCTGCCTGTATTGTCATCATGTCTCCTGTTACCGCCTGCCTGATGGCCCTGCTGACGGTGGGGTTCCTCGTGGCCAAGCACGACGCCTCGGTGCTCCAAGAGGTACAAGCTGACGCCTCGGCGGTGGAAGAACGTGGCACGAGTGGTAATGTATTGCTAAAAACAGTTTATAGTCCTGCATCTTGAGCAGAATATCTTGGGGAAGGGGTGGTGTTTCAATAGTTTTGCATGCAAGGCGCCCCGTGTACAAAATGCATGGCAGTCTATCTGCTGCATTTTGTGAACTGTCATTCCTGGGACATTTTAATTCAGGTTTCTCAAAATCGTTGTTGAAATATCTCTACACTGTACATGTATATCTAAAGGTACCAAATCCAAATTCCTTGGTCTAAGGCTGAACATTATGTGTAAATTAATGATTGATTCGGGTGACTTCGTCCCCTAATTCAATTTACCAACGACATGGATCTTTTAACGACTGCCAAAGAAACTGGGCTTCTCCTACCTTACTTTCCATTCGACTAAAAGGGAAAATCTTGAAACTCACGCACCAAGTTCGGCTTGGTTGGGCAGTGATTCAGCATGGCCCATAGGGCTAGCATACAAAGCGCGGAGCGAATATCGAAACGCGTGCGGACATGATCAGCCGGATTAAACTTCTGATATATTCTCTTTCGGCCTCAACGTCGCTAGCGGTGCAAATAGTATACCACACGGAATTCCCACGGTGAATGTCTACCAGCAGCGTGTGAAGAGCAATATAGAATGGTGGACCCATTTTAAATCCTTTCTCGTATCTGGAAGGGGGGTTTCGAAATGTGGCAATTTTAAAACTTCAGGGGCGTGCTGTATATTTTTTTTTACGATGGACGTGGGGAACAGGAAAAATACTTTGGAAGCAGACATTGTCACCTTACATTTATTTAGTAAAGAGGCGGATTTCTTTTCAAAGTAACATTTGGTATATACGTAACTGTTATTCATAAATGGCTGAGACAGTTTGAATATTATTCTAATCATCCAGTGAAATCATAGCACCTGGTGTGCTGTCGTTTTCAAGAAAAGTGGAATGTTTGTATCAAAAAGCAGACTACAAGAACAGCATGGGTTTTCCAGCATGAACGCAAACCAGCAAAAGCAACTTGTTGTACATGTATATCACCTTCAAGTTTAGCCTTCAACAAAATTATGCGGCTGTCGGAAGTTTGATGGCTCAGGCTAAGTAGGCCTAATGCCTCAATTTGTCAAATATTTTACTTTAAATTCAAAGACTAATCCATCACTTTCGGTCGTATTTGAATTAGAATTAATGTGAGTTTTATTCGTGAACTTTACAATATGCACATTTTAGTCAATCAAGAATATGTATTTCAAAATTATAAATTCATTAATACTCAATGTTTTCGCATAAGGCACAGATGTTCTTGGTTGTGTCAGCCAGATCCACCTTAATTAGATGCTAAAGTCATAGAGAAACAATAACTAATACAACAAATATACGGAAGGAAACAACAAGATAAACGCAAATGAAAATTACATAAAGATGACACAGCAATACAACACCAGTTTTAAAATAACGAGCTCATGAAATGTTGCGTGTATTAATTTAGGTGGGTCTTCAGAGCACATGTAAACTCTTGGGAGGTCGAAATATCACAACATTATGTCAACATTCGGCACGCAAGGTCATCGTGCGATTCGGGAGACAGTACCGTCAATAATTTTTGCTGAATATTTCTTTACCAATATGAATGTCATTATAGTTTGATATTGGCAAGGTTGACGGAGATTCAATCTTTTTCGGTGAAGACTGAATAATGAACGTGGTCAGAATTAACAAACGATTTTCGTTTTAAGTTTTGATTTCTTAGTTTATACGTTAACTTTGTCTGAAATGTACAACAGTGTCCGATAAGATAAAGCAGTTGACCAAAAGTCTTGAGACGTGTGCAAACAACGAAGACGTGGACTGCTTCTTGGCGTACTGCGACGATGATATCCGAATGATGCGTATGGATGCCCCAACAGACATTGGCAAAACAGGTACGTTTAAGCTCAATTTATTGCATTACAACTGAAAACTACTCAATTCCATCTTATGAAACTGCAATTTAACCCTAAAAGGGCCGGGGGACGGACCCCCCCCCCCCCCAACCTTTTCCGCGATAGCCTTGAATAATAATTTTGTGTGACCCAAGCTGTTCCAAACTTTTAAGCCTCGAGCCTTGCGCATCTTTTGATACCAAAAACATAAAATTCGGACCACGACACAGACCAGAATTACCATTCGTGCATATGAATAATTAATTAGCCATAATTCCAAATCCCTTTGACCTATAGTCATGAAATTTCTTGGATATTTATGAATAGTTTTTATATGCATGTACCGAGTTTCGTAATTTTTCGGCACTCGATCTGGGGGGGGGGGAATCCCCCCCCCCCCCCCCGGACGAGAGATGGTCAAAATAACCCGGCCCTTTCAGGGTTGTCATTATAAAAAGGGCCTGCCTCTAGCTCTGTGTTATCATTTCAACAGCGGCCCGAAAACACATGTGGTGGATTGAGCTGGATGTCGACGTTACCTACACTGTGAAGGAGATCATACCTACAGACGGATCTTACGTTGTGGAATGGATTGAGATCTCCATGATACACCCCAACGGAACTAGTGTCTATGACGGAAAGTAAGTGGGTTTCACCCAGCACGATATAGGACAGAGGGGTACCCCCCCCCCCATCTCCCTATACCCTATACACACCCTAGACTATTTGTTACCCAACACATCCTCCTAGATATCTCAAAAGAATTCCTGAGATTCTGGTAACACAATGACCAACACGAAGGGGGAGGGTTCCCTCTGTCGCATATTATCGTGCTGCATCATAAAGTGGGATTCGACAGTGTCGAAGTTACATTTTAAAAAAATAAATAATTAGGCCTCATACTGTCTTAAGCGCCGCATACTGAGTTCGAGGTAACAATGTCAGGTTTTTTTTTACTTTTTGGGGGGTGGGGGATATTTTCAGACATGATTTGAAAGTTACTGAAGTACCGGGCACATTGATGTAAAACCATAGAGCAACTTCCTTGCTCTATGATAAAACATATGTGTAACTTGTGAACCGGCTCACCCGGCTTTTTGTGGTAGATATGGATACCTGCATAATGAATCAGACTCAAAATTAATTGAGCTAATATGCATTTTGCGTCTTCACTTTCAACGCGTTACAACGTTTACAACGTTTTTAAACGCGTTATAACGTTTAACTGTTTCAAAAACGTTATTGTACTCGTACTTTACAAGCACTATATTTGAGTATACAGTTCAAATATTACATGTTTACAATCTCTAATTTTCCGATTTTTTTGTGGAAAACCCGTGCTCTTCAAAATATGATTTTTTTTTCTCCTAACGAATTTTCCTACCTGGATTTTTTTAAGGGGCCCATGGTTGCAAATGATGACATTTTCCCCATGTAGTATAGGCCTACACCCTTTGCATTCAGAAATTAACTTTGACAAGTTTCTCTTTCTTGGTTTTTTTTTATTGACAGGGGAGTGAATGTTTGGAAGAAGGTCAACGACGATTACAAGATCTACATCGACATCACTAATAGCAACTAACACAGCACAAATTTAAATTGGCTACGGAATGAATTTGAAGAAAATTTGGAGCAAAAGATTATAATTAATGAACTTATGAGTAATTTCCGAATTCATCAACTTACTGAAGGTGTATCGATACAACCAAGACTTAGTAATAGTGTTGAAATTCGAGTTTCAATTATGTGGTGATGGGTCAAACATATATCTAAGGTAAAGGAGTAAATGTTGTGGGCCATGATCGATCCATTAAGGCCCGCCCACTGCGCACTTAGGCAACAACCACAAAGTTGGGGGGGGGGGAGCCCGTGGGGGACATCCCGTGATCAGAAGGATGCCCTAACGGCGTGGTGTACGGGGCCCGCTTAAGGTCCCCGTAAAATCTTGGTGTCTAGACGCTTAATTTGTGGTGTAATCTGAGGCCAATTCTGACCACTTTAACCAATTATAGTTTGAAACAATCATCATTTAAAAAGATTTTTGACTTTGGAGTCATTGAATCAGCTATAAAATCACATTCGGAAACAAAAAAGGGGAGGGGGACAAACAATATGATACCCCCCCCCCCCACACACACACCACACACACTTCAGTGTCCCCCCCCCCCCTCCCCCTTACCGATTGACGCCCATGACCTCGAGCGTTATAATGCACAAGTGAATGTCCGGATCCATTTTGTGACTCGAATCGAGTCATTTTAAGGAAGTGACTCGAGTCCAGACATTAGGTCAAGAAGGTTGAGTCGAGTCACAGTGTGAGGTCGAATCCAGTGGAGTCAAATTTATGCTCGAGTCAATTTGAGACAGTGATATTTGAACACCATCTATTTGATATTTGACTCAAGTGGAGTCGAGTCAGTTACCCGTTGGGACTCGAGTCGCAAACATTTTGACTGAGTCGAGTCATTGACTCGAGTCATTACAACTCGGCATTGACGGTCAAAGAATCGCGGGATTTAATGGATCGATCAAGTCGAGCAAGTAAAGTTGAAAAGGAGGAGGGGAAATATCAAGTACATTGGAAAGGCTAGCGGCAACCAGTCCAATTTTGAATTTGAATTGTTCCCATAGTTATATTGAAAAGGTTGTTTGTCAATTTTGCTTTAACTTTACTTGTGTACAAGAAGTGCCCAAATTTGCTTCAAAGCTTATTTAGTGGTCTGGTTCACTGAAACATGCGTATATAGTGGAGCTGCTAAGCGAAAAATCGTGCACTTTGTGGTAAAAGCATGCAATTTGGCATGTGGGGTCAAAATGGGCTAAAAATCATTTTAAGATCGGGACCCATCCTGGATCTTGCCCATTTTGGGGGCGGAGCTTGATTTTCCAAAAAAGGGGGTGCAAACAATACAAAGTCATGAAAACTGTATTTAACATCAAATTTCTTTGTTTTTTTTACGCTTTGAAATAAACTTGAACATGAAATAAGACATTCTAGCATGCTAGCATCCTAACACCTGTTAATTTTCCACCCATTTTGTGGGCGTGGTCTAAATGGTAAAAGAGGCGGTATATATTAGCAGTTTGGTTCTAATATGGAAAACATCATTCAGTTTGGTGGTAAAATTCTGAAAATTGGCATGTCCAATTGAAATGGGCGAACATAATTTTTTAGAGGTGAACGCATCTTGGATCTTGCCCATTTGGGGGGCGGAGCTAGATCTTTCAAAAAGGGGAGTGCAAAAAAAGAAAACTCAGAAAACTGTATTTTACATTCACTTTGTAAATTCTGACATTCTAACGTGTTATTTTCACCCTTTTGCGGGCGTGGCCTAAATATGTAAAGAGGCGGTACATTAGAGCAGCTTGATTCAAACGAGGGAAAATCATCATTTTTGCTGGTAAAAACACAACTTTTCTATCGGTTAACTATGTTTACCATAGTAAAGATAAGTTTAAACGGTTGCAAGACTAATTGTTGCCCTTTAGGGGTGGAGCTACATTTTAAAGTAGGCGGCTATAAAAAAATCATATCTATATTGTTATGATTGTCTACAAGTAACTTACACAGGGTGAGTCAAAAAAAGGAAACCCAAATGGCAGGACAAATTTTTTTAATGAAGTTCTGCATGTAGCACTATCAAAATCAAGATATGAAAGCCCAATTTATAAGCTTTGTTTTAGTACAAGAGTCATTTAAATCACTTATGTACTTTGCAAGTTACAGAATTTTAAACACAAACACCGTCTTAAAAGTTCTGTCAGCAAAACGAAAACAATTCACATATAGGGGGATGCGCTGGAATTGTTTTCGTTTTGCTGAAAGAACACACACCATTTTTTGTGATACGTGGACAGAACTTAAAATAAATGCTGTAGCTTTTGCGCAGAATTATTTGCTTTATAATTTCAAGGTTGCCCCAACCCAGCCTTGTGAATGACAAGTGCATATTTGAAATCTGAAGCATTTACTCCTTTATATTCATACGAAACGTACAGATGGGAGTAATGCAAATGCCAGTTTTTATTCATACGAACTACCGTATGGTATTATTTGTACTTTTGCGCGATTAACATTAATAAATGCAGTAATTTTTGCGCATAATTATGTGCTTTTATATTTTCAAGGTAGCCCCAACCCAACCTTGAAATATGACAAGTAAATATTTAAAATTTGTAGCATTTACTCCTTTTTATTCATAAGAAACGAAGTAAGCGCTTATAGTGTAGCAAAAGCTTAAAGGTAAAAGTAATTATTTTCAGAATTTAGCAAACGGTTTTTAGTAAAAGTGTTTGCTTAATTTTCATTCATACAGATGCGAGTAAATGCTTCAAAATGGTAGCAAAAGCAAATGCCATGTTTTATTCATACGCACATGGTATCATTTGTACTTTATGAACTTTAATAAATGCAGTAATTTTTGCGCAGAAGTATTTTACTTTATAATTTCAAGGTTGCCCCAATCCAGCCTTGTAAATGACAAGTGCATATTTGAAATCTGAAGCATTTACTCCTTTATATTCATACGAAACGAAGTAAACGATAAATAATTTTTTTCTGGTAATGAAACCAAGGATCCTCAAAAGTGCATGCCCCAGGCACTGCAGCTCGCAAACCCCGGAAAAAAAAACGTAGAGAGAAGACAATGAGAAGAAATTACAGTTTTAGAGGTGGGAGGAAAACCCCAGAAGAATAGTCTGGGGAAAACCCACGGAATCAGGTAGGGACTGAAAACCCAATCCACATGTAGACCATGGGTGCCGATGCACAGCGCATTGTGCACGTAAACGGCATTGCGTTCGTCGGGTTTGATGCGCTTTTTTTGTATCTGTCCTCCAGCACTTGACCCTCCCCGGTGCCGCTTTCCGATTCAGTTTCGAAAGTTTTATTTTCTGCAAACTTATAAACATGTTAAGCTTCACATTTTGCAGGCCATTTACTCAAGAGCAAATGGTTTTTAGTAAAAGTGTTTGCTTAATTTTCATTCATACTGATGTGAGTAAATGCTTCGAAAGTGGTACAAAAAGCAAATGCCATGCTTTATTCATACAAACATATGGTATCATTTGTACTTTATGAACTTTAATAAATGCAGTAGTTTTTGCACAGAATTATTTTGCTTTATAATTTCAAGGTTGCCCCAACCCAGCCTTGTAAATGACAAGTGCATATTTGAAATCTGAAGCATTTACTCCTTTTTATTCATACAAAACGAAGAAAACGATTATTAGGCCAAAAAAGGCTCTGGTTTCTGGTATGCGCGCGCGTAGCCATAGCCATGCGCGTCGGCAATGTAAGATGATGTCTTTCAATGTAAGATGATGTCTCAAACCACCAAACTCACTGGTTCGACTGGAATCCTGCTGCTGCACAATTTTAACGTGTTATTTCTCATAAAGTTATTTCTCACGTCTAAGTTTATTTCAAGCATGAAGAACAAAGGAAAATGGATGTTAAATACATTTTTTTTTAGTTTTTAATTTTTTGCACTCCCCTTTTTGAAAAATCAAGCTCCGCCCCCCAAAATTGTGCAAGATCCAAGATGTGTTCACCTCTTAAAATTATTTTCAGCCCATTTTAACTAGACCTGCCAATTTTCAGGATTTTACTACCAAACCGAATAATGTTTTCTATATTAGAACCAAACTGCTAATATATACCGCCTCTTTTGTACATTTAGGCCACGCCCACAAAATGGGTGAAAATTAACTGGTGTTCGGATGCTAGAATGTTATATTTTATGTTTAAGTTTATTTCAAACCATAGAAAAACAAGGAAAATGGATGTTAAATACAGTTTTCATGAGTTTGTATTGTTTGCACCCCCTTTTAAAAAAAATCAAGCTCCGCCCCCAAAATGGGCAAGATCCAGGATGGGTCCCGATCTTAAAATGAATTCTAGCCCATTGGGACCCCACCTGCCAAATTTCATGTTTTTACCACAAAGTGCACGATTTGGGCCAAAAATGGACCTAAGCAGCTCCACTAATAGTGCAATGTCGAAAAGGCTGTTTTGTTCAAGCCTATTCGCGCACACGTGACCAGAGTAAAATCATATTTCTTACACTTCCAACTGATCAACTTACACGATCACCGAAAGCGTCCATGACTAAGGGTCAAAGCCTGATAATGCAAATTATCTTTTAATTATTGTTGTATAACAGGCTTTCAAAAATGGCTTTTAAACTGTGTTTGAACAGTATGAATGAGTTATACATGGCTACCCGAAATTAAAAACGACAAACTTCCATAGGGAGATTGATGGAGCCTCTGAAGTCCTTGGAGTTAATGCAACACATGCCTGTCATCTAAAAATACACGTTTCATGGCTGTTTTGTCTTTGCACAGACGTAATAAAATTATGTCGTGAATTACCGAAAGAATATGGTTCGTGGCTAGACTGTACGAATCATTAATTTTCTGCATAAGCAACTCAATATGCTAATTTTCTAAAAAAAAATAATGCATTTTGTGGCTGTTCGGTCTTTGCAGGGCATAATAAAAGTTTGCTCTATGCTAACGAAAGAATGGTTCGTGGCCACATTTAAGGACTCTCCTGCATTAGCGTAGGCCAGGAAACAGTGAGGTACGATTACAATCAGTTTTGGCAAAACAACATAGAAAATGTACAATGTACTAAGATATCAGTATAAAATAGGTCCCGGAAAGTAGAGATTGACGGAGCCTCAAAAGTCCTTGGAGTTAATGTAACACATGCCTATCATCTAAAAAAAATGTACACGTTTTAGGCGCCCCCCCCCCCAAAAAAAAGTCTCCGGTTTCTGGTATGCGCGCGCGTCGCCGTAGCCATGCGCGTCGGCAAAATGAAAACTTTTTTTTTCAATGAAAGATGATGTCTCAAAACCGCCAAACTCACTGGTTTGACTGGAATCCTGCTGCTGCACAATTTTAACGTGTTTTTAGATGGGGTTATGATCGACAATAAGCCTTATGTGGCCTCTCTGGTCTCCCATAATATTTGCACTAAGTTTAGTCGGGCACCATTTGCAGTTATCAGCCGACATTTGAAGCAAAAAAAAAAGGTAAAAAAAAAAAAAAAGCCGCGTCGCCGCACCACTTTTTGGGCAAGCTCCATACCAGAAACCGGAGACTTTTTTTTAGCCTTATGGCTGTTTTGTTTTTGCAGGCCCGGATTATCCAATAGGCACAGTAGGTTGTCCCTAGGGCCTTTGGAAAATTCGGGGGCCTACAAAAAGTTCGGGGATCCCCTATTGTCCCTCTTTTGTTTGTACTTTTAACCTTTAAGGAAGACCTCCCATAAGTTTTGTACACGATCGTCAATTGTGGACCTCCAGGAATTGGGGATCCTATTTTCTCTATTGTTCAACGTCCCCTATTGACGCCGATTGACGCCCTTGGTGCCAACAGGCTTTTAGAGCTAGGACCTATACCAGTTTGGTCTGGCTTGATTCGTACAGTGCTTTGAACTTTAAAGGGAAGATACAACATTTGCAAACATCAAAAAACGAAATGATCAAATTATCACGAAATATCTCACTGGATTTCTAGGGAATAACAGTCTAAAACATCCTGTAAAGTTGTGGCTCCTGGTGTGCTGACATTTTCAAGAAAAACTGTATTTTTCCAATGCTGGTCGGCCGACCAGCGTTGGAGAAAACTGGCGTTTTTTCAAAAAGTGCTTCTAATTTTTCATAATTAGTTATTCCGTGTTTTCTTTGGAATTGATTACACACCTGTGAAGCGGTACAAGCCTGCTAGACTGATTCTCTGACCTTACAATTCCGCAAAGGTTATAAATTGCTCCGTTTCAACTTAAGTGGGGTCAGGGAACCAGAGTACAAGAACATGATTGGTTTTCTTGGTTTTTCCAGCATCTACAAGCCCAAATCGTGAAACAAGTCATTTTAACAATATTTGCTATAACATACTAATCCTCCAAATCCATTATTTCTGAAAATTGCAGCAAAAGCAAATGTTGTACATTTCCTTTAATGGCATCAACATGAACTTGGTGCCGGAGCCTGGGGGGCGTAGGGCCTCAGGAACACTGGTGTCTAGGGTCTACGAAACACTTAATCCGGGCCTGTGTCTTTGCACAGACGTAATAAAATTACGTTGCGAATTATCAAAAGAATGCTTCGTTGCTAGACTGTAGGAATCATTAATTTTCTGCAAATATGCTCATTTTCTAAAAAAAAATGCATTTTGTGGCTTTTTTGGTTTTTGCAGGGGATAATAAAAGTTTGCTCTATTATTTTTTGGTTCCATTTTAATATTTTATAAAATTAGGCAGCTGCTGAACGGCGGCGCGGAGGGGGTTGCAACCGCCCCCTCTAAATGTGATACTGTAGAAGGAGGCTTGTTGGAAATGAGAGGGTGAAATTATTGTCCATTTGTCTTTGATGAAAACAGTTATTCCTTCTCGTTTCTACTCATGAAAATTATTTTTTTTTTTAAGCCAGCCATCCAGTCAAAGTATGTGGCAAGAAAAAAAAGCTGCCTAATATGGGAGAAGTGATCTAATTTATGTTTGGTTCACATTATGACTACTCAAATACAGACACAGTGTCGGTAGATTGCAATATGGAGTTTGACGGAGCTTCTGAGTCCCTGGAGTTTATGTAACATATGTTTATCATCTAAAAATACATGTTATTATGGCTTTCTTGTTTTTGCAGGGCATAATAAAATGTTTGCTCTGAGCCAACAAAAGAATGGTTTGTAGCTACATTGTACGAACTGTTGAAACTTCTGCGTTTAGCTATGAGAGAAAAACTGGTGAGGTACCGTTGCAATCAGTTATGACGAAAAAAAAGAGAAGTGTATGGACTAAAATAATTCTTGCTATTTCACCCTGGGGTTGTGGTGCGTGTGTCCTTTTTTGGCTTTCAAGCACTCCCCCTTCTCCCCCTCCCCCCCCCCTCGCGACGCCCATGCATTGGCGTGGCCTGGATTTTTTGTAGCAGGGGCAAAGCAAATTGTTACCCAAAAATCCTTGTACTCTCTCTAGCATATTCTCCATTGTTCATTTTGTTTTTGGGTGGGCGGGGGACATTTGCCCACCTCATTCCCACTGACACGTCATGACTAACCGTTCAAAACGAAAGAACGCTAATAGGAACCTATGATATGTCTACCATGTCAACTGGCTGTAGTCCTCCAGGTCGTTACGAGGTCAATGATGCGTGGTTTGACCTTCGTTTCTGTCCTGACCCATGCAGGTCATACCAACAAATGGAATGACCTAACCAAACACAAGTGTATATTAATAAGTCTGTGATGCCAACTGGCTTTCCTCAGATCATTTCTGAGGTCAAATATGCGTGACCTTCTTGTTAGTCTTGACCCCAGCAGGTCATTGCAACCATTACTGGAATGACGTCACCAAGCAGAAGCCTAGGTGTCTAACATGCTGAACGATTGTAGCCCTCCTGGGTCATGATGAGGTCAATAATGGCCAACATGAAATGACCTTCCTTGGTGTGCTGACCCCAGCAGGTCATTATAACCTAACTTGACTGACCTTATTCAAGAACCATATGTAGGAGCCTAGGAGCTTTTGCCATGTCTACCAATCAGATTGGCTGTGATCCTCCTGGGTCGTTATGAGGTCAATAATGGCCTGCATGATATGACCTTCCTTGGTGTGCTGACCCCAGCAGGTCATTATAACCTAACTAGGATGACCTCATTCAAGAACCATATGTTGGAGCCTAGGAGCTTTTGCCATGTCTACCAATCAGATTGGCTGTGATCCTCCTGGGTCGTTATGAGGTCAATAATGGCCTGCATGATATGACCTTCCTTGGTGTGCTGACCCCAGCAGGTCATTATAACCTAACTTGACTGACCTTATTCAAGACCATTTGTAGCAGCCTAGAAACTCATGTCTACCAATCTGACTGGCTGTGATCCTCCTGGGTCGTTATGAGGTCAATAATGGCCTGCATGATACGACCTTCCTTAGTGTCTTGACCCCAGCAGGTCATTCCAGGCTGGTTGATTTTCTGCTTGAGAAGCTTGTCAAGTTCAGACCGGAGATCCTAGCAATATGGAGAGTAGAAACATCTATATCAATCGCTATTTTGTATAAGGGTTACACAAATGTAACAACTTTCATTAATGTTCATGTTTTTTCTTTTAGACCGGGTAGTCTTTGGGAAATGAAGTCACATTTCCCAGCTAATTTCCTGCCAAACAAAAATTAGCTGTGAACCAGTTACAAGCAACACACAAGAGATACAATTTTTGGCCGGTAACCCATTGTTGTTAACACAAGCAAATCGTTTTCTGTGATTAAAAAAAAAAGTGTGCTGATAAGCTTCATGAAAGATCCCATGAGTTTTTGTCAAACACCTAATACCATTTTTCAAAATTAATCAGAGTTAGTGAACATACACGGCCAGATCACCGAGGACATACCTTGACTAGATGTGCGATTCGGGCCGGCGCCGAGAATTTGATGTGGTCGTCGACGGTGATTGCCTCCACGCCGTCTTCACTGGTGACGCCAATCTTGCCTCCAAAGAACAGCAGAGGGTAGGGTTCAACGGCGGTGGTGTCGTGCAGAAACACCTGGGTGGGGGACGGACGCAAATGAGTCCATCACATGTCAACGAGGGATTTGAACAATGAAAAGGAATTGGCTCCATCACAGTTCACTGGAATAGCTTGTGACTGACTTGAGACAGAAAGAGCTGTGATTGACTTGAAAGATTTTTTCCGCCAAGGAGATGTGAGACTACAGAAATAACATCGGTTCAGGGTAAAGCCCAATAAATTGGGAGGACTTGTGATGGCATGACTATAATTCTGTTGAATCGGATGACCACTTGGTCAACATTATATCTCAACTTCAGGCACATTTCTGTGAGTAGGAATGACAAGTCACAGCTAGACAAGCTTAGAGAAACTGGGCTCAGACAAATTTGGTCCAAGTCATCTGAGTTAAACTTCACATCAGGGTCAAGGTCAGGCTTAAAGGGCCCATGCAATGTTATTTTTTTAATGCAATCCTTGAAAATGCATCTTTGTGTCCCATTTAACTTTCTTTTCGATTTGTTTTGCACAATTTTCAAGGCCATCGTGGCTTAGAGCAGCGGAGCTGCGAATGCACTAAGCGACTGGACCAAAGATTAAGTCAGCACGCATGAGTGGTGAAGCCACGAGGCCTTTTCGAACTTGATTTTGCGGTTTTGCGGGGTTTTTTGGTTGAATGCTGACTCCGTCGTTTCCGATTGTTTGGAATTTTGCTACCCTTTCGGGGTAGCAAAAATCGAGATTATAAGGATTATAAGATTAAATTCTTGACAAGTTGGAAAGGCCCTCGTGGCTTCGCCACTCGCGTGTGTGGTCTCCTGCTCCAGTTGCTTCGCGGCTTCGCCGCTTTGTCTAATGCTGGCAAGTTAAGCCATGATGGCCTTGGCGAAAGGCTACAGTCAGCCAGATTGGTACACAGAGACACTTGGCTGGCCCTCTGAAACTAGTCCAAATGCTCAACTCACGTCTGAAGATTTCATCTTGAGGTGATACAGGATCCAGTTGGAGGGGAAGTGACTCTGGTCACAGTTGACGGACTTGGGATGGATCTTGACCCTGCCGTCCTGCGGAGTGACAATCTTCGCGGGCCTGCACGGGACGAAAATTAAACTTTCCTTCATTTCAATTTTAATAACAAATTTTACGACTTATTGATTTGAACATTATTTATTTTAAAGGAATCATTCCTGTTAATTAACCCTCATCCCCTAAGGTGTGTGGAAAATGGAACAAAAATTGAAGGAGTCCAGACTGTTAGGGTCAAAGTTATGGGACCTTGGAAGACCAACGTACACAAATATTGACTGAACACAGCTAAACACAAGGACATATCACCAACATTGATTCACTTATTAACTCAGATCCGTGGCCTACTCTCCCGCAATTTGGCATCTCTGTTCTACTTGCTTCTTTCTTTCATTTATTACCTAGATTGGCACTTGGCCTTGTGGTTGGTGATTTCTTAAAGAAAATAAAATCTCACCTGTATTTTCCCTCTCGTCTGTTGAACGAGTTTTGCCTCACCTGGGCCACGTTGGGATATAGACCTGAGCACAGTATCGCCTTGATTAGTTGCCGGTTGCCTGAATTGGACACATATATAGATGCAGGTCAAAAATTAAAAAGAAGAGGCAAAACAAATCTAACAAATTGTTTAAAAGCTCACATCATTTTTAAAAACATAAATGGCATCAAAGTATGTTAATCTGTCTCATGTGAAGTCATTTGAAAAATGTTGTATTAACTGCATAAAAATAGAGAAGAAAACAAAAAATCGATTTCTAAACAAGATGCTAAACAAACCACATTATGTAACAGCCCACACTATTGTTAAAAACAGAAATGGCATCAAAATATGTCAATCTTTCTCACGTGTAGTCATTTGGAAGGAAACATTTGTAGAAACTGTAATTTGTAGAAACTGCAAAAATAAAAACAAAAAGTTAAAAAACAGGAAAAAAGTGGCAAACAGTTCTACCTGAGTTTCTGTTAGCTGACCTCTGTTTAGAAGACTTCCCCTCTACGAAGCCTATGGATGCCAGATGCTCACAGAACTGGGTCTTCATGTTGTCTAACATCTGGATTACAGAAAAAGACAATTCGGAAAACTAAAGGACGAGGTTTCTAGTTTTAAATTTTACTTTAATTTATAGAACCATTCCCTGCCATAAAATTTCAAGCATATACCACTGATATACTACTGAAGTGGAGTGCCGTGGCCTCGTGGTCTGGAGCACGGAGCTCATAGTCTTTGGGTAATTCTGCAGGTTGTGGATTCGAGTCCAGCCTGGGTTTATGGCGCATGTGCCCTTGGGCAAGGCACTTTGTCACTCATTGCTTCTCTCCACCCAGGAGTAAATGGGTACCTGTGAGGGCAGAGATGGTTTGTGATTGATTTTAGCACCTTTGCGCATAAATGGCAGCATCGAGCTGCATACTCCCAGGGAGCTGAGATTATCTTTTGAATTTTTCATTGGCCAATGATCAGGGATAATAATAGTGTAAAGCGCTTTGATCTTAGAAGTATCCATTATTATTATTAGTATCAAATGCCCCTACCTTGAGAGTAGTGACAGACATGAAGTTTCTCCAGCAGTAGTCACTCTCAGCTCCGCGTCCGTGATCTCTGGCGTCCTCCCAGCCTGCCACAGCGTTGACCAGCATCAGGTGGTCGCTGTAGGTGTCCTCTGCGATGAGCTTCCGCTGGGCGTCGGCCATCTTCTCCTTCCCCTGTGACAACTCTACTTGTTCATCTACTTGACATCTACATCCTCCTAAACTTGAACCATATGTTCCCCAACTGCTAACCCGTTACTCCCTGTATCGCCCCAAACCACCCTGCCTATTACTCACTGTACAATCCCAAACCGCCCCCTACCTGTTACTGAATGATATTATTCATCAGGGTATAAATACAATACAATACGAAACAACACAATGCAGTGCAGGTTATAATGGGTTAAATTTCTCATTTCTCATTTACGTTTACCAAACATTGGCTTCACTTTCAGCTCTGGCTTCAAATGTGGCTTCACTACCTTATGGAAGCCTATATTTTCAAACCCAATAAATATATTCTGAATAAGAACCTCATATTATTGGATTTTATGTTCATGGTGCAGAGTTTGGGCTGGTATTGAGCCAGAGTCAACCAGTTCTGGGTCTGGAATGTCTAAAAGCCAAAGTCAGAGAGAAAACCCAAGTTTGGAAAACTCCCTGTATCTCACCAATGGGATGACGAAGGGATCTTTGAAGCTGAGGCTGGCGGCAACGGTCAGGATGGGATCCAGACAGCAGAACATGGCACCAAAGAGAATCATGCGGCCGATGGTAGGGGAGACGGGGAGCCGGGCAAGGTGGTAACCGAGCGGGGTCAGTTTCTCACGGTCGTCCAGGGCATTCTGAGGGGAAAAATGACAAAATTCAGACTATTAAGAAGTACATGAAGTTGTATATCTACAAATTGTATGAGTCTACCACAGCCATGAATTGGAGCAAAATAGTAACCCAAATTTCTCTTGTTGCTAAGCAAACAGCGCCCTCTTTTTGTTTATGAATGAAGCCAATGATGGTTAATTTGAATGTTCCACATTATGCACACTGCCATTCATGTTAAATTTAGGAAATGGAAATCAAATTTCAGGAAATTAGAAACGTAATCGAGGAATCAAAAGCCATTAAAGTTCAATCAAAAGTTATATCCAGTCTCAAGACAAAAGGACAAAGAATTCAAATGACATATGGCAAAGGAATTCCTTTGTCACTGTAAATACCCATCTAAACGTGTTTTTACTGGCGACTGATGACTCAATTACAACACTTGAGAAATCTTTCTAAACTAAAAAGGTCCACAGTGATAATGAAACTGACCATCTGCACGAGGCTTTCCAATGCTAGATCTACGGCTCTAGGGTCAGGCTGCTGTAAGGCCTTCTGGATGAAGTCATGGACACGACCCAGCTTCAGCGACTGTATAGAAAGAATAGAAAGTGTCATCATTAGCTTTCCAATGCTAGATCTACCGCTCTAGGGTCAGGCTGCTGTAAGGCCTTCTGGATGAAGTCATGAACACGACCCAGCTTCAGCGACTGTAGAGAAAGAATAGAAAGTGTCATCATTACGCCCTTTTCAGCCAACTCACCATTCCAATCGCACATGCATGAGATTTGCTTGACGAGGTTTCGAGAGACAAACAAAGCAGATGAATGCACGCAAGTCTATTGGTGGCATGGTAACCGAATCCACATTTTGCAATTTTTCATCTAGTAAAGAAAGAAGATGGAAACTTTTGATCGCACAAAAGTTGGAGCGTATAAAACATCTTAAAGCATGGTGCCGTTAAAAACAATCAAAATTTTGCATCTACTTCAAAACAAGAACTTTTCTTTGATTTCGTTTGTACCCGCTATGATTTCTCGAAACTAAATCGTTGAATCTGATGTGCGCACGTGCAGTTGAAATAGCGAAAAGGTTTATTCCATGGGCATTGCAGATATTAAACTGCAACATTTGATGAGATTCATAATACACTAGGCTACCAAGAATTTGCCGTAAAGAGGACTCTTGACACTTGAATTCAACTTGGCCGTTGAATTTATTAATTTGTGTTTTATTCAGCATCATCATCTCTAAGCAGTATATCATCATCATCACGGATTGCAGCTCTTCCATTTAGAGAATCGTCAATTTGTTTTCATACCAGTGGTGCACCCAAGGGGGGGCTCGGGGGGCTTGAACCCCCCCCCCCCCCCCCAAAAAAGATGTTGTAATTGTTTTTTCTTTTTTTTGTAATTTTTTTTGTAGTCCCACGTTTTGACCTTGGTGATATGTATTTGGCCTATTTTCGAGTAGTATAATAGGGCTGTAAGTGGCACCGTCAAGGTAAAAAAAGCCCCCCCCCCCCCAAAAAAAACGATTTTGTTTCCGCGGTGAAACATTTTTGGCAATTTGCAAAAATAAATTTGTGAGCCCCCTCCCCCCCGCCAGCCAAATCCTGGGTGCGCCACTGTTTCATACCTACCTTAATTTGCAAGCAGAGTTCATCCAGTGGTGTTCGTAGCATCTCTGGTAACTGATAGTCAGTCAGCATGCTGGCCTTGAGCTGGTTGTACAGATGATAGCATTCACCAGGCTGTACTCTAAAAATTACAATCAGATTTAAAACATTCTGATTTATTTAGACTTCTACTAAGGCGAAGTAAAAAAACAAACAAGTTTCTCGTCCCCGCCCGCTTCCTTTTTGGAGGCCGCCTGGATTTTTTTATTATTTTTTATTTTTGAAAAAATGTAGTAGAAAAACACTGAAAAAGTCTACAAATTCATCGGAATATAAATACCAATACCAATACAACTCTAAATGACACTGACACTGTAAATATGTTCAGTTCTCTTGTCCAACTTGTCTTTCATCTTTAAAAGTGTCTTTAAACAGTGGAACACCAACGGTTGCAGGAAATTTGAAAAGGCGGTCATCTTGAAAAAAATTAAAAATAAAAAGCCCCGCTTCCTCCCTTTTTTCAAAAACCCTGGACAAGAAACTATTTTTTTTTTACTCAGCCTAAAAAGGCAAACTACTAACAGCAAGCTTCGATATCAACCCATTCAAGTAAAAGGAGTAATATTCAACTGGCTATGCAAATAAGTGGGTGGGGCAGCAAACCAAATTTGAATAATTTTACATAACCTCCTCTCTAGCAGTTTGCTGCAATGCTGATCCAAGTCATTGTTATTCCTCATTTTATTAACATTTATGCTAATAGGTGGCGCTACAGCCTTAATATGAAACCATTTGCATACTTGCCAGCCCTCCTACTCTGGAATGCTGACCAATGCAATTACTCTCTCTATTGACAAATGTTATGCTAATTAGTAGGCGGAGCTTAAGGCTCAATTTGAATACATTTGCGTAATTGCCAGCCCTCCTACTGACCAATGCAATTACTCTCTATTAACAAATGCTATGCTAATTAGAAGGCGGAGCTTCAGGCTCAATTAGAATACATTTGCATACCTGCCGGCCCTCCTACTGACCGATGCAATTACTCTCTATTAACAAATGCTATGCTAATTAGTAGGCGGAGCTTCAGGCTCAATTAGAATACATTTGCATACCTGCCGGCCCTCCCTCTCCTCTGGCGGGCGGCTGCTACGCTGACCCACTCTGGTTTCAAGGTGCTGAGGTTGTTGGCCACGTCAAAGTTGCGCTCCTTGACGCGGCCCAGGTTGACGACGTACACCACATCATCGATGGTGATGCTCGTCTCGGCGATGTTGGTTGCTATGATGATCTTACGGACACCAGGTGGCGGCCGCTCAAACACCTGTGTAAGTATGTCAAAGGTTGCTTAAACAGCATATGTGATGCTATCAAGCTAAATAAGTCGTTTGTCAGGAATTTTTATGTGGAGATACAGGCCAAAATAGGGCCACTTCATCACATCACTTCATCACATCTCTTGGTGTTCCGACTTCTATAATTTTTGAACTAAAGATGGTATCAGCATGCGGTTTTCACAGCAGTAATGCTGAGATTGTGCTCTTTTCAAATCTGTAAAAAAAATAAAAATTGACCAAGGTCGACAAACAACTCGTGTAGCTTGATCGCATCACATGTACATATCAAGAGAAAAAGTTTTAATCTAATACATTTTTATCAGTTTACTTAATCCATATAAGCTATTAGAATTAATTGTCAACATCAGTATCAGTGTTAATATTTTTTGAATTTCTATCCCAATTTTGTGGCCTCTGCCTCAGCTTTCATTTACATAAAATAAATATTCATTTTCTTTGGACTATAGTCGGTAGTTCCATGCACACATTTGCAACAATTACCCAGAGTATAGACCATTATCATGTTGCGGCCATTTTTGGAAGTTTTCCCATTCAAATCAACGTAACCAAAGCGAGGCTGGAAGGAAAAAATAGTCTGGTTCCTTTTTGCACAAAAACATTATCCTTCAGTATTGTTATTGGATACAGGGAACATGAGTAAAATGGTAGCAACATGATATAGGAGTATAATGTCAATTCTATGGCCATACATCACACAAACATTCCATTAAATTGATTCACAACGGCAATTCACAGGAAGTCTTTTCATGCATCTGGTTCAAACAAATGTAACTAATTCATTGGCATTACACGGTAATCCTATACAACTGCACTGCCCAGTGAGATAGGTGCAAAGAAGACACTAGCCCTCTGGGATCAGCACAATCCCAATGTACCTGTCTTTGGTTGACGGTGGGCATCATGGAGTGCAAGGGAATGATGCGGAAATTGGCGTTTCGGAACATCTGCTGCTGGGTCAGGAGGTCATTCAGCTTGGAGATCTGCTCCCAGCCTGGGAGGAAGACCAGAATAGCGCCCTCCTGTGGTAGCAACCAAAAAAGTCATGTACGTGACTCACTCTATCAAAATGAGGAATAAGTCACAGAGGCCATTTCTGAGTTGATGGTCTGAGCAATAGAACACACCTATTGCTCAGAAAGAACGCACAAGCAACATTTTGTTCCGCCACTTTCAGCTTTTGATCTTCCAATGGCTTCAAGAAGGTACAAAATCCCTAGGGAAGCTATTTTCCAAGAAGCAATTTCGTCCAATTTTTAACACAGTTTTTTACCCTTTCTCCTTCAGGGCCAGTTTCATGCCCTGTAAAATAAGTCACTTTCATTGTAGCATTGGGGGAGTGTGGCCTAGTGGTTAGGGTTCGTGACTTAAGATCAGAGGGTCAGGGGTTCAAATCCAGCTGCTGGCCACATTGTTGTGTCTTTGGGCAAGCCACTTCACCCCAACTTGCCTCTCTCCAGTCAGGAGTACAAATGAATACCGGCATTAGCTGGAGAGTAACCTGCGATGGACTGACATATTGTTTTCGTGGTTATTTTTAAATTTCGCTTTTGAGAGAAATTAAAATTGTATTGAAATGACTGACCGCTTTGTTGAGGCAGATGTGACGTATGATGGTAGACACCATGTCAATGTCCATCTTTTCATGGTCCATATTCTGCAGATAGTACACCACCTCTTCAGGATATCTACAACAATTCAAGCAATGTAAGTTGACAATAGGTTGAAAAGAATTTGCATTCAGGGAAAAACAAGATTAATATAGCGCTAAAGTGTCCATTAGTGACATGCTTTGTAATTCTTTATAAAGCTTAGGGCCGAGTTATTCCCGAAGTACGTAGCTTACGTTGTGCTGATTTCCTTGATGTATCCGTTGAACTTTTCCTTGAATTCCTGTTCTTTCTTTAGCTCGTCCTCACGGTAGCGCTTCCCGCGTCGGAACTTCATCCAAATCGGCTCGCGTTTCTCTCTCTGCTCAGGCGGTTTGTATCTGGTATTGGAAAAAAACACACTTTAAATCAGTGAGAAATACTTTCATTGTGTACGTATGGTAGCTGTTTATTAAAATCAGCTTTCAATATTTGAGCAAGTGCGATCAGGGATTACTGGTCGACTAGTGGTTGATTAGTAACATAACTTATGCCAACGCAAAAATGTCTCCAGTCAAAACTTCGTGGTCCTGGCTCCCTGCTGTGCATTATGGTGCACTCGACTGCTGATAACCAGGGATGCGACCAACCGCATTAAACTGGTCACCAATAGTAGACTAGACTAGTCCAATCATCGTTGACTAACCAGAATTTGATCAGAGTTAGTCAAACAATGGTTAACTACAGTTCCTGATCGAACTTATTCTTTGATGTTGAGGTTGTTGAAACAATTAAGGTAACACAAAAGGTAACAGATCTGAATCCTAGCTTTCATTTGGCTTAAAACACTTAGTAGCAATGTTCACCCAAATGGGGCCTGGGCTTTCATAGATTTTACTAGAGTGGTCACTTTTAATAATGTTACTTACTTGGTCATTTGAAGCACATCTTCCAACCAGTACTCCAGGACAGGGAATGTGAAACCGGGTATGTTGGTCATCGGGCAACTGCCGAAGTATTCCGAGAACAGTTCAGCGTTGAGGGTCGCACTCATCAGGATTACCTTGAGCTTTGGTCTGGGGGGGGGGAGAAAAACATTTCCAATAACGGCCAAGTCTGACTAGGTAAGTTGTTCATGTATTTATTTATTTAAATTCTTTCTGGTAATGAAACTAAGGATTCTTCAAAAGCACCCTTGGCAGTGTAGCTCGCAAGCCTGAAAAATAACCTTTAGAGAGAAGACAATGAGAAGAAATTACAGTTTTAGAGGTGGAAGGAAAACCCCAGAAAAATATTCTTGGGAAAACCCACAGAATCAGGTAGCGACTGAAAACCCAATATTAAATCCACATGTTGAACGAGGCGGGATTCGAACCTGGGTCACAGTGGTGGAAGGCAATGAAAGAACTGCTACGCCATGACTCACTGACAACAAAGAAAGAAGATAATTGTTTTCCACCATTTTTGGACTTCAAAATCGTTCCGATTACTTTCTTTGCCATTTTTTTTTACCTTTTCGGTAAGACATCTTTGAGAATGACCAGCAGAAAATCAGAAATGATGTCTCTCTCGTGAACTTCATCCAGAACAACATGGCTCACGCTTTGCAGAAGCCTGTCAAAATAATACAATTTTTACAATTATAGTTTTGTAAGCTAAAAAAGACTAGAGATGAAATTTTCATTGTGACTAAATGAAGCCAGGTACCAGACTTTAATGACCTTTGACCTAGGTAAACTCACTGGTCTGTTTCCAGCCACTTCAGCAAGATGCCGTTGGTGCAGTACATGATGCAACCCTGTTGCCGTGGTAGCCTGGCCTCCAGTCTAATCTGGTACCCTGTGCTGTTGCCGTTACCGCACGGCTCTGCTCTCTCACACGCTACTCGCTCGGCCACCTTACAACCAAAAATAAGGCACGATCATTTCAAATGTCACAATTGGAAAATGGCCCAGGTTAGCAAATCTTCTTAAAATGGTGTTGTTTTATGACTTGATAGACTCACAGATATTGCAGAGATTCTCCGGGGCTGAGTACAGACAACCCTGCATGTGGACCCCTGACCTCGCTCCACGTGATGATCCAGGATGAACTGGGGGACCTGGGTGGTCTTACCGCACCCCGTCTCCCCGCTGATGACCACGACTTGGTTCTCGTTGATCAAACGCAGAAGCTCCTGTCAAAGAAACAATAGCACAGTCAGATTAAACACTAACCCTATGTGGAGTGCTGTGGCCTCGTGATTTGAGCATTGAATTCAAAATATGTGGGGTAGCTCTGCAGGTTGTGGGTTCAAGTCCAGCCTAAGAGGTTGCCGTGTGTGCCCTTGGGCAAGGCACTTTGTCACTAATTGCTTCTCCCCACGTGGCACCAATGAACGATGCGTCTGTTGAATCCTGTTGCAGTTGGCAACCACAGACTCCAAGCCAGTATGACCTTGGCATTTTTGACCTGTTGGAATTTGTTACACTGGGCAGGCATAGTTGTGACGATCCACATAATACGTCAGGATTGCCTGCAGTGGCGGATCCAGGGAGGTGCAGAGGGGGGTCGACTGAAATGTTCTCAACTAAGGCCATATTTCAATTGAGAGAGCCTTCCCCCCCCCCCCCCCGAACACCCTTCGCCCCCTACCCTCCCCCCCCCCCCCCAAAGGAGTAACCTCTCTGGATCCACCCTTGGTCTCAGCTATAGTTGAGACTGAACGCCGCGCCCACTTCAGAATCTAAGCTCGCAGGCCACAATTGACCACTGTACCGAGATAGTCCAACAGGGCGTTGTGTAGACTATATGAGTAGAAACAGAAGCAGAAGAGACCAAGACCTATAGTTGGGACACAGCTATATTTGGGTCGTAACTATTGCACATGATGACTTACGTGTCTCATGTTGTAGGATGGTAGCTTCTTGCGGAATTCCTGCATGTCTTTGTATTGGCGGTTGTCAGCCTGCTTAGCCTCCAGCTCAAGCCGTAATCTCTTGTCCAGCTCTGGGTCTTGTGTCAGCGGGTGCTGATAGAAGGAATGGTACTGCTCGTCTCGCGGATTTCTCCCTGAGGAAGATATGATGCAAGACTAGTAAAGCTGGTCACAGAATGCACACAATTCTGTTCAATTGATTCAGAATGGCTATTTGCGGAAAGTCTTTTCATGCATCTGGTTAACACAATGGGTGGGTTCCACATCCTATGGTGAGGTTTGCATAAATCCATGTAGTGATGTTATGCCCCAACTGCAGTTCGGACAATCCCGATTACATTTGGGGAAGTCCCAACTGTAGCTGGGACAATGTATTAGTTGAAGCATAACTGTGTTGTGGGGCACACATTCATTGCATCCAATTCATCACATTAAGCAATACCATACCAAAGCATCTTAAACAGCAATTGAGCCCCAACATTCTTGCAAACACATACTTGGCTTGACTTCATTGCTTTCTTGTTGTTCTTCCTCGGATCTCTGTTTCTGCACGTCATCCAGCAACGTGCGGATGTGCTTCTCATGCTCTGGTTCCATGCCAACAACAGGTCTCTATGAAATGGGAAGCAAAAACCACTTAAATTAAGGTGTAACAGGTGGAAGTCGGATTGTGTTCAGTGACTATGTAGAACAACGCGATGTCATAAAAAAACAGAGTTATAGTTAAGACTCTTGTTAAACTTCAAAACACAAGTCAATCGCAGAGCAAATCACAAGTCAATCATAAGTAAGGTCATAAGTGGCATGGGGTCGACACTGATAAAGGACGTCTTTATCAAATGTCGTTTTGAATAGCTTGTGATACAAGTTGAGACTTGGGGACTTGTGAGATTTTGGAGGACATAATGTCACAAGTGCAAACATCTGCTGACAAAAAATAAATAAATATAGCAATGGCTCCAACTACATGTATAGTTGAGACACCCCTAACTACTCATGTATAGTTGGGGCAGTACCAACTACAATTGGGTCGGTGCTATAGTTTTGGTATAACATCGCCATTATAATATTCCTTACATTTCTGATTTCTGCAGCAGCTTTCTTCGCCCTCCCACGCGCCGCGTACCACATCCCGATATCACGTCCCCTCAGCCCCTCTGGGGGCCCTCCCCTCCGGCCTCCTCTGCCATGTCCCCGCCCTCTCCCTCCTTGTTCTCCATAGGTTCTACTTGGCCCGGCTTCCTCGCTTTCTTCTCCTGCATTCCATCTGGCACCGTGGGCTCGGCCTCGGTGGTTGTTGAAGTAGCGGCCCTTGGACCTGCTCATTGGATCAAGTGTCAGCCTGGTGACAACAAATTTTGATTAGAGTTCATAACAAAATTAGTGTCAACCCAGCACCAAATTCAGCTGGCATAGTGAAAAAGTAAATAGAAATTAGGTTTAGTTTTATAGATACATGATATATGACATGGGTACTGCATTGGTGCTAAATTGTTTCGAAGGTTATGAATGATGCTGTATATTTTGCCTGTGAATTAAGTGGAAATAAATAAAATGAATGAATGTTTTTCGTACAATATTTTTTCGTCATGTTCATGGATTAATGTGAAATAAGATGTCCCAAACGTTGGTTGGTTGATAAGTTTGGTTTAACTATGGGGCATGGCAAGGAAAACAGAAACCTAAGTTGTCAACAATCACTCAACAAAGATCACTGCAAACCAAGGTAGCCATTGCCCCAGCCATGGCAGCGACTGAGCGCTTGAGCCTTGAGGATTAATTTTGTTTTCTACAGACATGACAGATCCATCTAGATCAGTTATCAGCGATTTCAATAAATTACAGAAACAACGATAGATTAGCGTTATCACAACCGATGAATAAATCAGATGAATAAATCAAAACTCACTTATTACGAATAGGAGCAAATAATTTCTGTCCTTTTCGCAAACCGCTGAAGGGGCGCAAAAAGACCAAAACTAAACATGTGTGAAATGTGTTATTTTTAAATAGCGCCCTCAATTGGCAGATTTTGGCACACTTCGAGACTGTGGAGAGATGGCGGAGTCATAACACTTTGCTGGTAAATTAGAGGAATTTCGCTACTTATTGCCTTAAATTAACAGAAAAATACTTCATTTAATGCATTTTAAGATATCATTTTCCACAATAGTTTTATTTATGATGACGTATGTTGAGCGTTATATCACTTAATTCCACTATTAAATTGTGCTGTTCCTTTAATTTCCCACGTACGGCATACATCATCATGCATACGTAACTAACTCAACACTTTACTGCACATGATGTATGCAATGATTGTGTCGTCCGCAGGCCAAAAATGAAAAGCTCATAGAAAACTCTGAATATTCTTATTTTTAAGAATAAACTTCATCAAATAAGAAAGTGAAGAATGTAGTATCCTGACGCCACTTCTTTGGTTGTGTACAAAGTCTATGGAGAGTTGAGTCCATTTTCAAATTATTTCTAAACTCATTCGATTTAGAAATTCTCAGTCCCAGATTCATTGTTTTTTCAACATTTTTGCAATGACTGACCTTCATTGAGATAATATTTTATGAAAAAAGGAGTTAAGATGCAAAATTCTTTCCGTGAAGGAAATATTGTCTTGTTTAATATAATATTATGATCAACTGGTTTTTTTTTAAACAATGCCCTTTTTTTCTTACAGAAACAGCTAGACCAGGCTACATGAACTGCTTACACAATATTTTTGGTTTCATTATCATCAACAGAAAGCTTCATCTGTGACTGTCAGTTTATACAAACATCTTTGAAGGCACATAATCACTTGGAGTGCGACAGCAGGACTCACAAGAAATCATGGATTCCTTCTTGCTGGCTGCTGGGGTTCTCTACTTCTTAGCCATGGCCCTATGTGGCATGAGCCTAGCCCTACCCCTGTGGGTGGTCTCCAACGTCCAACGCTCAGACCTTAGCCTCGGCCTGCTGCTACACTGCCAACAGATCTACGGCCGTGACTGGGATTGTCGCTACGCCGACGGACCCCTAGAATGGATCCTCGCCGCCATTTTGATCATCCTCGGCATCGTTGCGCTGGCCGTCGGAACCCTCATGATCGTCTTCTCGGACAAGCGGCCCCGGCTCCGGCGCTACCCCAAGTACATGGGGCTGACAGCGTGGACCCTCTTCTGCTTGGCTATCATGATGTTCCCCGCGGGGTTCGATCTGCCGCTGATTGGGGGAAATCCTTACCTTTTGCCCAACAGCGTCAAGACTGGCATCTCCTATGGGCTGTTCTTCACAGGGATCATCTGCACATTCTTCGGTTCGGCCTTGGCACTTGGCAAGATGTATTACGATATCATTGTGCTAAGATGAACGTCTTGCTTTGGATTTCTCCCCGAAGCATCGCCCATTTGTGACCTAGGCCCAATTTCATGTTATTGCTAAATACAGTAATGTTAAGTGCGGACAATGTTATCTGAACAAAACACTGCATTTTCCCATGAGATGCATACAGCTTTATGACTGGTCCTTACCTAATTTTCGCTTGGCCAATTAAAATTCTCAGCAAATTATTCTGCTATATAAATGGGATTTTATGGAATCGGGCTCAATTTCATGGCGCTGCTTAGCACACGACTTTCTGCTAACTCGGCCTCCATCTATTTTATTGAGACCGTATAAAAAAGCAGTTAGTACTGCAAAAGGCATGCTTACCTTAAAGGAAAAATGTGCTTAAATCAGTGGTGAAAGGTATTTCTATGCACACAACCGTTATAGCACATCCGAGCCATAAAAATAGTGCTTAAGGTTAGCACAATTTTCTGCTAACTGTAAAGCAAATGCTGCTTACTATAGCAGAAATATTGTGCTAATGGTTAGCGCATTTCACGGGATAGCATGCATTCATCCAGTAACTTAGGGTTCTGTGCTTACAGAGTTAATGCAGATTTTTTTTTTTTTTTTCATTTCTGTAAGCAAAGTAAGGATAGAAAAAGGGCTAAGCGCACAAGTTGTGCGCTTAGCCCTTTTTCTAAGTTGTGACAACTTATACTGTTAGCAGAGCCATACAATTTGACCCTATTATTGAGGTTTTCATTACTGTAAAAAAAAAAATTATTGGGTTGTCTAATTTTTCCTATTGTTTTTGGCCCATTCCACTTCATAAGAAACTGGTGTAATTTTTCTGTAAATGTTCCTAAATTTGTTTGAATTATTGTCTTGGAAATCAAGAAATGTCGTACTCGTACATAGTGTTAGTTTCTGTGTGCATTCTATAGTAACCCACCAGCACCCTTGTAAATAGTGTAACATATGCAGAGACATTATATTGTGTTTATCACTATTTTTAAGTATTTAAAATGTCAAACTGATGATGAAAGTGAAATTGTGTCAAAATTTGAATGCATTGTAAATTCATATCCAGTGAGAGTTGTCTGTATCGGTGTCGGAGTCTACTCAAGTAATATGTGAACCTATATTGTACACATAAATTAAGTCTTAGGCAATAGTTTGTATGGTAATGTTTAGATCACTGTGTTTATTTCATTGCTAAAAAAAACCTGTTTGTTTACTAGCAGCTTGCTCTGTATGAAATGATCGGGACTATAATCATGACAATGTAACCATAGAATGTGTTGAATTTAAAAGGGGAAAATATCAAGATCTAATCACTTTTCTTCAACTGAAAAAAAGGAAATTATAAAGAACAATTATGTACAATGTACTCTGTACTAGAGTCCCTTCTTGAAACCGATCGCAAGTCTTGGTTCAACTTTGGTCGGAACAATGAAGTCAGAAATATGTGTGTGGTCACAGTGCCAAAATGCGGCCCAGCATGCCATAACCTTCTTAGGATAGTATTTGTAAATCTTTTTAAAAAAATGCATGTTTATAGCACAGCAAAGGAATGATTATGAATGTCAAATGGTACAAACTTGTATATAAAGACTGCACGAAACTATACCAGAAAATGTGAAAAGCCATGATATCATGTGTACTTGTTAGATGTTTCAAAATTATTGTTACAAATTACAATTTCAGGGGATTCAACACAAACATTGTTTTTTTTTAAAACACGTTTCATGTACATGTAATATCTGAAATAAAAAGAAACACGTATGATGGAATACAAAATAAAACCCTCATGATTGATTTAAAGGCACTGTCTGAACTCTGTCATTCTGAGAAATTAATTTACAAATTTCTTCACAAACTTTATTAAAAATAAATTTAAATAAGCAGCATATCTTTTTGAGTACTTTTGAATAACCACAAGAATCATCTGAAAAAGTCACCAAATTTCCTCGCTGTCTTCACTACTCAATTTAAATCAGGTGAGAATGTCAAAAAAAGCGAATCGATACTGGACAGCTTTTGTATCACGGACAAGAACCAGTGCTCGCTGACCTTGAGGGCGCTCTTCAAGAAGTTGCAGCAGTCCCAGCATGCAACAGTAGCCCACCGCTCGGCCACTGCCAGTGATGAATGTGTTGGCACCGTCCACGACGAAACCAATCACACGACGGCGACAGGAGTCAAACAGTTTTACATCGGGCGCCACTTCAAATTTCAGCCCAGCCTTAACACTTTTAATCTCTCTAGGATTATCAGCCACACTTGGGCCACTTTTCCCCTTCTTGTTCTTCTTTTTGGACCTCTTTGGGAGTTTAAACTCTTTGTGGATTGGTTCCATGGGGCAGTGCATCTGGTTGGATTCAAATGACGCGATGTCTTCTTCGCTTGGGAGGCAAATCATCGCAAATGGATGTGGCACTCCACGGTTGGCCATGCTCAACTTGACACCAACAAGCATCCTGTCTGTATCTTGACCTAGGTCAGCAACAATCTTATTTATTTCCTCATGCTGTCCTGTATGGGATTCCTTACTCTCTAAATTTCGCATTTGAGGAGCTGCATGCCCATTTGAGGCCACCGTAGTGTCCATCTTGACATGAGTGATGTCACTTTCAGGAGCGATGTCTACAGGGACAATCTGATTGGTCCCCTTAGCAGATTTAGGGATCTGAGGAGGCTTCTGATTTGCTGTCAAGGTTTTGCTAAGTGTTTCCAGCTTGGATCTCTCTCGAAGCACAAAGAATGCTTGGTTCTTGTCACCTTCTTCAGAGAGCATTGTTTCTTCTGCCTGAGACTCAGCAACAGCATCATCCTCATCTTCTTCCGTTTCTAGTTTCTTTGCATCCCTCCATTCTTCCAGAAGCTTCTTCCAAGCACACCTAAAAGGTGAGACGACTCCAAGTTTTCCATAGTTAGGCCTCTTGGCAGGTGGCCACCTCTTGAATTTCTTGGTCTGCTCTTCCTCCACCTTGTCTGCCCATGCCTCTCCTGCTGCTGTGTCCGGATACCCCTCCGGGAAGTGTGGGACCCCCTGTTGGAGGTGGCAGGAGCGGGATTCCTGAAGCCCTGCCGCTCGGCAGCCCCTCAGGACCAGTGCAATCCAGAAGTCCATCCCCCAGCCGCTCGGCAGGATGACATCCCAGCCGCTACCAAAGCCTGCTGCACCACCTCGCTTTGTTCGACTGGATGCGGTAACCGTGCCAACATTGCTTGGCTGGATTCCAGGTTGCTGGAGAAGCAGAACCGGGACGCGCGAATCCTGGCGACCTAGACTCATCTCCTGGCCTGGAACGATGAGCTTGGAGCGCATCTTGTTAAGTTTGTGGGTGGGTATCTTGGTTGAGGTGACAGACTCCCGCATTGACTGCTCCCAGAGGGGTGACACTGGTGCTGCTCTTGGGAAGTGACGTACAACTTCAGGTGGTGGTTGATCTGAAAACAATTGAAAAAATTATCCTTTGTTCATTTGATAAGCTGTAATTCACATGGAAGGAGGTCTGTACCATTTCAAACAATACAAACAAAGTGGTCATTCTAGAAAAGGCTTTTTTCTTTCCCGCTTCACTGAAAATGACAAGAAAGGAACAAGAGAAGCCATCTAAACGAGGTATCTAAACATACCAGTTGGTTCCAACTCGTCAGAATCTGTCATTATCTTAGTTCTCTTGATGGGCAGGAGATTGCGTGGGTCTCGTACCGTCAACGAGAGAATGCAGCGCGGGAGAAGATCAGTAACTGCCCTAACTCCACCCAGGGTCTTCCAGATGGACGACTGCTCCTGCCAGGCTTGCAAACAATGTGGATCCTGTAATTAAAAAAACCCAATGTAACATGCACACATTATCAGCCAATCACAGTATTACAGGTGCTATGCCATTACACCTGTTCATCAGCCCCCCATATCAATCATGATTAATTTACAAGATCCCACTGCAAGGTACATATAATGGGTCAATCAAACTTATATCCATCCATCCTCTTATCCTCACAGGTGTCCATTTTCTTTTCAGTGTGCAGGGAAGCAATTTGCCTTAAGAACACAACCTTTATTTAACCCTTGTTTTGTTTGATCAGTCACAGACAGTCAAAAATTCAATCCCTTTCCCCTGCCATGCCTTTTACACAGACTAGTCATCAACAGTCGGATCATATTTCAATAGGCACTGTGACTAGTCAAAGGTTATCAACAGACAAAAGCAGGTGACTGGTAGTCACAGCCGGATTATCAATCTCCTACAGTCAAAGCATAGCTATATCAGGATTTATAACAATCACAGCCAGTCAATCCTGCTTTATGAAGGCAGGGAGCACTTAAAAAAACAGTCACTTTTTTATTTTGACTGCTGGGCTGGCCTTGTTGAAATTGCCAGCCAGAGAGGGAGGGTTTTAAGGAAATCAATCTGTTCTATCACCCAGGACTTAGGTTGAATAATATGCATGCAGTAACCACTTGGTGCAACCTGCAGAAGGCTTGTCTTTGAGCCCTCTCTGGGATTCGAACCCAGACCCGTTGGATCAATGCATACATGTATTCAGTCTTCATGTAATTAGTTACAGACATTAAACGCTGCATGTCAGGGCACAGCTGCATTAACCAGTTAACACCTGATGACCAGATCATTTAGCTCTATCAACACATCTCAATGCTCTGCAATTATACTCACTGCGTAATAATCTTCCCACCAAAGCCTGTCTTGCTTTGAGCCTGATGCCTCGCCCTGCACCTCTGCCATCTTCAGGGCATGGAGGAGCACTGGGTGTGCCAGCGGACCCTGAAGGCGAAATCTCAGAGGACTATCGTCGAGCTGTCTCACAGTGACTCTGCCGTTAGCTTCTGCAATAAAGGAATGCATGTTGAAAGTGGCTTTTCACGAATTTGAGATTAGTACTTGGGGTGGACTTTTCGATCTGCTGGGAAAGTGGGACGCAAAGTTCCTTTCTGCTTAAAAACCAGTAAAACTCCCAGACACAGATTAGTCAGGGCCCAAGAATATGCCATATATCAGCATTGGAAAGGAGTGGAACCTGCGTCACAATTTGAATATGGAAGCAAATTTCTTAAATTAGAAAAGTTTAAGCACCATTCTTACCACTGTTCCTGTTTTCAGCCACAGTTGCTGCTGTAACCTCCTGGAGTAGCAGGGCAGCACACGATGGGTGAGCCCACAGCCAGAGCTGTCGCATTGCACCCTCCTCAAACTTCTCCCCCGGACTTGTTGATGACGCTTTATCCTCTACCCGTGTTGGACCTCCTCTCCCTACTTTAGGGGCGGAGTCTGCAGAAGTGGCATGGGCTCTCCAGAGGAAATTGACAGGTCCAATAGCGCCCTCAGGGAAGCGATCCATGCGATAAAACATCGCTTCACCGTGGCGCTGGCCGGTGAGAAAAGAGGCAGCAGCACAGGTCAAACCTACCAACGAGATTTTAAATGAATTATTAAAGTAACACATTTTGCCGACGAACACAATATTTCCAATAATGTTTTTACAAAGTTCAACCAGTGTCATCGTTTGCTTCATCTCCTGCCAGGGATCTATGACACACGTACCTGTGGTGGGACTGGTGAGGTGGGACAGCGCCCTCAATGTCAATCCTTGAGGACCGACTATCTCGATGACTCGCAGGTAGGAGACATCTTGGAGAAGGCAGTGTTTGGCCATAGCCCTGAATGAACAAAAAGAAAATCATTTTTAATTGTTTGGTACCTGTAAGGCTGAGTACTTTTAAGGCTTAGTACCTATAACGTTTAGCACCTGCAAGTTGCTCTAACACCCTTGTCTGAGGGATATGCAGGGCCAGCTCAAAGCCCACTACTCAGCCACCTTGAACCACTTAGTACCTATAAGGCTTAGTACTTACAAATATTAGTACCTACAAGGCTTAAAGGGAATATACATCATTTGCTGTAATTTTCAGAAACGGATGGAATTGGGGGGTTGGAAATATAAAGCAAATATAGTTACACTGACTTTTTGGAGGTTTTGGGTTCGAAAGTGCTATAAAAACCAAGAAAAACGATCATTTTCCTGTAGTCTGGTCCCCTGACTCCATATAAGAAGAAACAGAGCAGTTTACATACATTGGGGAATTGTAAGGTCAGGGAACCAGTCTAGCTGGCTCGTACCCGTTCATAGGTTTGTAATCGATTGCAAACAAGTGCAATGGTCAATTGGGGCCAGTATTTGAAAAAAAAAGCCAGTTGTTTCCAACGCTGATCGGCCGATCAGCGTTGGAAATTGATACAAAAATACCACTTTTCTTGAAAATGACAGTATACCAGGTGCCATAATTTTACAGGATGCTTTAGACTGTCATTTACCAACATCCTATTAAGGTATTTCGCAAAAACTTGGTAGTTTTATTTTTCGATGTTTGCAAATGTTGTATATTCCCTTTAATACCTTTACAACTAAGTACCTATGAGACTTAGTACCTATGAAGCTTACTACCCACAAGGCTAATTAGTACCTATAAGGCTTAGTACCTGTAAGTTGCTCTGACACTCTTGTCTGAAGGATGCAGGGGCAGCTTACAGCCCCATTGCTCAACCATTTTGAACCGCTTGGCGTGCCAGACATGCGTCTCCAGCCATGCATGGCCGGCCTGTCTGCGCTGGTACTCTTGCTTCAGGTTACCAGGCCGGCGCCGGTGCCGACGCGATCGCTTCGCTGGGGGTGGGTCTTCATCAGCCCCGCCTTCTTTGCCCGGTGCAGATTTCTTCTTGCTCATGCATTTTTGCATCTTTGAAAAGAAATACAACAATTTAGCTTCACTCTGTTCCTCACTATCACAATGTACAGCTGTGATAAATTGTGGTGTTGAAATACAGTCAAATGCCACCAACATGCTACCACATAACTTTGGTACAATTTTGGATATCCTTGTTAATTCTAAAGTTAATGTTTAGGGTTATCAGGTATGCATGGATTTTTATATTATGAGCGTGATAATCTATTTTTCTCATATGAAGTAGGGTTAGGGTAAATGTACCAATAGTTGGAAGTTGTAAGCCCAGCTCATAGCAAATTATTGACGTCACAGCAAGTTTTCGCAATGCGAATTTGCAAAAGTTGAACACATTTCAACTCTGGATGGTGAATTTCACGGTGACTGTTTTGTGACGTCAAATTTGATTTGCATTTTCATTTGAGTTAGTACACAAAATCACTCTAACTCACTGTTCTTTCTTCGGAATCTCTCAATCTCTTAGGCAGACGTCTCAGATCATGGCTCATGGCGCGCCGTCTCATGTGACGTGGTAGCTTCTGGAAGGTTCTGCGCATGCCTCCCATGGTCATGATGGCCTCCGTCATGGTCTTGAGCTCAGCGGCCCGGGCACCCGCAAACTCAGCCACATTGATAGCTGAGTGTGAACAACGAAAAGCATTGAACAGATTGAATACATTGTAATTGAATACATTGTAACTGTGCTAAATTCAGTTTCCCTTTTAAAAATATTTCATTACTTGATAAAACGTCATTAATTTTTTTAACGCGCTGGTCCTTATTTTTATCCCTTAGTGCCTTACACGTTGTTACGATTTCGTGGTGGAAATATCATTCTTCGACGTCACTTTGCCTTTGCAGCAGTGGAATGGAAACCAGACCATGGACAATGGACAGAGTACCATTAAAGATTTATGTTAAAATATAGACGGTACCTTTTGGCAGACACGGTCATGACGGTGAGGGGAAATTTGCAAGTTGAGGAAAACGTGAAATTTTATTAAAAATCAATATAAAACTTGCCCCAAGAGACCAAGACACAACAGTTTTTCAATCCTCATTTCTATACAACTCAGCAAAAAGTCCTAAAGTACCGATGAACTAGCCTGATAACTTGTGCCCAACTTAACCGCCTTTTTATCATTTGATTTTTGAACATGGTCTGGCACGCGACCAACATGACCAAGTTGTCACAAGTAATACAAATTACAATGACATAATTCACACTTACCCCTGGGGTTGTTGGCCAAAATGTCCCCCTCATCCCTTTCAGCTGGGCCCTCCTGCCTGTCCATAACTTATTTCTCGTTCATTCAGACAAAATCAGAGCATCAAAGAAATCTTGAATCGCCGGCCTGACCCTGTTGAGTGAACCATGGAGGAAGGAATATCACCCGATCAATGGCACATTGATGCAATCATTTAATATCAACGACAATCGGTCGCTTTCATATTCAGCTGAACATTTATTCAAAAAAATAGTTCTTGTAGTAGTTGTACAAGTTCAGTCTGACCTTTGGTAAGGCAATTTTTAAGACACAAAAAGTTGCAAGAAGGGAAAAAACGATATCTTCCTCAGGACTCCAAACTGGCGCCGGCTAACCCATCTAATTTCACGAAAGAGAAAAATCACATGTGCACCATAAATCTAAGTGAGCGCCCTCATGCGTCAGTCTTTGCCAGTTCAACGCGCCCAACCATAATGTGCGGGTGCATAATCACGTCGAGTGACTGGCCAAAAGCATTACCCAAAAGAAAGAGCCCCCCCCCCCCCCCCGGCCTAGCTCCATTGGACTCTAGTTTTTACAATAATTATTTAGCATCACACTTTCTGAAGTCCTATGTTACATCTTAATCTCCTTTATTTCCAAGTTTTATGTTACACATGTAGGCATTACACGATACGTTTACTGTTGGCAAAAGTTAAAAAACAAACACAATTTGATATATATATAGCAATATTTCAATGACTGCAGCAGGTGTTATGCAGCAGGTGTTTTCGGGGCGTGCTTTGTTATTGTAATTAACTTGAGTGTCAATTAATGGACACACCAAAGGTTAATTACTCATGCCCACCCAAGCGATACAAAACCACTACATGTACCCTCTTTCGAAATCTGCCTTTAACGCATAATTCAAATAAGTCAAAATGACATAGAAATTATAGAACCAAGTGCTTAATTCTTTATTTACATGAACACATTTTTACTAATGATTGCTGCATATTCCTTGGAGAGTATTTATTTTTTTACTGAGTGCAGGGGTGGATCTAGCTTTCAGGAAATGGGAGGGTTGATATGAAGGAAATCTAGAAGCTTTTTCCTGCATTCTAAGGCAGTTTGAGAATAAATTTAGGAACTTTAGCATTCCATTTATTATTTTGGCCAAATTTTACCAGCAATAACATGAGTCAGTGGTTCCCCCTAGAACCGCTACTGCAGTGCATGGTTACTTTCCAAATGAGGTCAATCAATCTACCTAAATAATTATTAAATCCAACAACCTTTTTTTTCTGAAAAAAAAACCAACATCCATTTTCCAAATTCATGGCTTTGCTCCAACAACATTATACATGATTACAGCACACACATCGAGTGCTAGACCCAGTTGAGAATTTAAGTACATAAAGATTTTCACTGGTTCTACATACTGTTAGCAGGAGACCATAAAGAAACAGTTTGATGAAAACATGTAAAAAGTCCAACCCAATTGTTTTTTTTTAAACAGTACTACTACAGTTTTAAAACTTGTACTACATGTACCACAAGGAGTTTTTGAAGATTTTTTGTTTGAAATCCATAAATAAGTTCATGCAATGTAGCCTAACGAAAGTATTTTTGAAATACACAGGCTTGACAATCTTCTTCTCAGATTCAATATGAATATTTTAAATAATCTCAAAGAAGAATTCGAGGCATTTTATACCACTGCAATCAAATGTGATTTGAAACAGTAGAAGTTAGTTGAACTGTTTATATATTGGGCCAGATTTCATACTTAAAGACCATTAAAAAAATCGTAAAAACAAACATTGCACATTTCCATCGTTTTGCAAAGAAAATGGCTCACTTAAAAAGAGATTGACTTGTCTTAATTTTAATACATTTTGTACTTTATAGTCGTTATCATAAATTAAACTACAGCAGCATGTTACTGTGTTACAGCTATTCTTTAGGTATACAATCTTAGTAAAGATGCACATCCCAAATACAGCTTGGCTGTTTACCTGTAAATATGAACTTGTCTATCTTGGAAGGAAATTTTGCGGATGAAAAAAATTAACACCTGAATAGTTCAAGCTGTCTCCCGACTTTGTCTTTTTTTTTTTAAAACGAAGCCATTACCTTCCGTGTAGTTTTCTGTTTTTTCTTCCTTAGTAGCTGCCACATGTGGGCCTTCTACCCAAGCATTTTGAAAAATAATGATCACAATATCTACATTGCAGAATCTTTTGTTTTTCAATTATCTGGTAAAGAAAACATTTGTCTTTGAAGCGACTATGTACGGAAAGCATAGGTGAATTTTACATTTGAGTCTTTCATTACGTTTAACATATTCACAGTTATCAGATCTTTTGTCAAATTGGCACGGCTTGGATATGGCAAAATCATTCTCACCGGCTAAACTGGCACCGAGTATATTTAATGCATAATTATTATGCATTAAAAATAATAACAACATGGTGAAAATACAAATTGTGGCATACACGACAAATACAAAATATTATGTATACAGATAACGGGTACATGCAAACAGGCCAGTGGGTTACGAGCTCACTTCTAGACTGGTTATCGCCTTCTCTAGATAGCATTTTCAAATGTTCATAAGTGAAACGGGGAACCAGTGAAATGTCATTGTCCTTCACTCTCCCTTGGTACTAGGCGATAAAGCGCCCTCTATACAGCTCACGCAGATCGTCTGTAAGAAGATTTAAGTTTATAGCTTAGTATTTCATAAGTTGTCTTCATGGAGTACTGCCAACAACACAGTAGTACGAGTGAAGTATGTCACAGTTAAACGTTCATCATCGATGAATTCCTTTGAAAACTATACACAAATATTCCTGTATCTCTCAGTCATCTCGGTATTAACCAGTCCACGCTGGGATTGTTTTAACAAGAATGTAACGTTTACTTTTCACTCGACCTCAAGCCAGGCGGGACGAAGCCAACCATCGGGCAGCACACTTATATTTCCGGCCTCGCTTGCTGCAAGTGGGTCGCTGACAGATGTTTCCGGCCTCGCTCCAGGCGTGTTTATCCGTCATCCGTTACGAATATCGCAAAACTTTTGCGGGTATACACGTCATCCGACGCAAACTGGTTAAGGAATCTGCAGCATAAGATTCTATCCTGACATATAAACTTGCAAGGAACCATCCCTCAACATAATACAGTCTTCACTTCACAGAAGGAGCCTTAATTCTGTCTCAGAATCGTTTTCTCTGAGTCTGTGGATGAGATGTTTCAGAAAGCTTTGCTCAAACGTCTTCAGCGCTCTTCAGAATGAGAATTGCGTTGTAGATCTTGAGCGCTGGCCCGAGTTTGATCGTCATGATCTTGACAATGTCTGTCTGGGTAAGGAGTAGGAAGGCCTCGCCATCAATTTGCTGAAATAAAAAGAAGCAATTTTATATTTACTGTTTTGTCACTCTAAGTTACAAGTGATTTTGTTTTTTTTCCTCAAAGTTATAAATCATAGTTTGATTCGAATTCAAGTTAATTGAGTTGAAATGGTAATCTTAGCCACAAGTGCTTTTTCTTGCATTTACTGGAGCAGGCACTGTATTCGTGAAAATGTAAGACGCCAATTGTACATTTTTTCTAGAAAACACATTTATTCCACAATTTTTGTATTATTTTTTTTAATATATCAATAAATCTGAAAATCGAAAGAAAATGAAATAAAAAAATCGTCCCATTCGGATTTTGCATTTTTCTCCACGTGACTTCAGCCTGTGCCCAGGCCAGTTCCGCATCATTTTGCCAGAACGCCTCACAATTGACAATTCTAAACTGGCTATTTCTTTAATTCCACTCCCTCCCTCACTCACTTCATCGGCAAACTTGGATGCGTGCTCCCCGCACCCCGGCAGCTTCTTGACAAAGTCAGCCACCTCCTCGGTAGACCACTTGGCCACGGCGCTGCGAGACAGGTCGGCCAGGCCGGGCAAGAGCTTGGAGTGTTGCTCCCAGCATAAGGGCAGGTCCTTGGCCGGGTTGGGTGACATAGCAGACATGAAGACGGACTGGTGCAGCTGATGATGGAGGTTATTGGTCTTGGATGACTCTGAAAAGAGGTGGGGTGTTGGGGGTTCAAAGCAGAGATTGAACAAAAATTAGGCGAATCCTGTTTCTTGAACTGTTACTGCTTGACATATTTACATTTTTTTTTTATCAAAGTAGGTGATTTTATTTAATTTTTGGGGGGGATACTTTTTTTGACTTACTTTCATCTTTGTCCTGGTGGGATTTCTTCTTCTTCTTTTGGAGCAAGATAAGGGGTGTGCCTTTATGTCTGTATGAAAGGGGGGAAGAAAAATCTCTGGATAAACCAGTTCGGTATTCCAACTGGGCATGTGCCCATCAAGATTTGCCGATTTTTCTAACGGGATAAAAATTTCATCCTATGCGCGTTAAAACATAGCAGGGTACCAGCAAAATTGAAGAGATCATCGTGTTCTGAAGTACAACATTTTTCAAAAAACCTTTGTTCAGCAAAGTGTTTTAGGTTTCTTTGTGTGGCCAAAGTTTTTTTGATTGCAGGAAAAATATTGCACAGAATGCAGATCTGGTTACCACGTCCCCCATAGCCTTGTGTGCATTTATCTGCCACCGTTATCCCCGAGATAAAAAATTGTCGAATCTTGCTGTGCACCGCACTATTTTGGAATACCGAACAGGCTTATTAAGTCCAATATGAAAAGAATGTTGTAGCCACATTGTTTGTTTGATGATGCAGTCAAATGTCATTGGCAGATCTACAGATGAATGGTTTGTTCATCTCACACAGCTCTAAATTTTAATATACACATCATGTATATCGACCATTACTTTATAAGGCCAAAAAAATAAGTCGGTCTCTGGTCAGCGCGCGCATCGATTTTAATCATGCGCGTCGAAATTTTTTTTCTCCAAAATGTTCCGCGGTAGCTCCAACAGCGCCCTCTATTTCCGCACCTCCTCAATTTTTTTAACCAAAGAGCACCAAGGAATGGGAAATTGCACCAAGGCAAATGATCTAAAGCACCAAGGCAAATTATGGAGGACACCAATGTACATGAGGACACCAAAAAAGCAAAATAGTACCCACCTTGTCTGTACAATCCAAGCTTGAAAAAAAAAAAAAAAAAGCCGCGTGGCCGCGTCAACTCCGGAACTTTGGTCTGACCAGAGACCGAATATTTTTTTTTTGGCCTAACTTTGGAATTATAGCCTTTACTCAAAATGCCAACTGAAAATACATTTTGTAAGACTGAGCACACTTCAAATTACTTTCGTTTGCCCCTCCCAAGTGCCAGGGGTAGCGGTGGGCGTCCGGGGCCCCTGGGGCTTGGCGATGGTGAAGGGGTTGCTGACTTGCTGTCACCGTTCACTATGTTCAGGTTCTTCTCATTAAGAGGGCAGCCTGACAGCTTGTGGTGGCCTGAGTATTTGCCCGTCACGTGGCCGGAGCCGTCGCAGCCTGGGGTCGGGCATTTCCTGAGAGAGAAAGAAAAAAAAAAAAAGACGATAATTTTTGAGATAAAATATTACATTCATGAGTACTTACCCCTGAGTATTATGTTATCCACTGATGCATGCCGTACAATACATCATAATGCAAATCACCTAAAGCAACCAGCACACTGAGACGTGTACAATTTGGTCCCGAGGGACCCACATTTGCAAGATTTGGACCCTTTACTCTCAAGACTCTTCTACCAAAAAATGACTAGTAACAAAGCAACCCAGGAAGGTGATTCTGCACAGGTGGGTGGGGTCAGGGAAAAGGGCGGGGTCAGGTGGGTGGGGTCAGGAAAAAGGGTGGGGTCAAGAGGGTGGGGTCAGGAGCGCGGGGAGGGACTCCTGTAATTTGCATACACAATGACCAACCAATTAGTAATCTCGTTATCCGGTATCCACCGACTTACTTTATTTCAGGTGATTCAATTGGGGACTTCTTCCCGTCCTTGGATAGTGACTTGGAGCCGGAGTATAGCCGGTCAATTATGGGCGATTCCTTGGCCATGTTGAGGAGGGAGTAGGGACATCCAAAGGCACTGCAATGACAATCAAACACGCCACCGTTTAGAAATGATCCAAATTAGAGTTTCTGAAACTCCAGAAAATCTTTCGGGAAGAAAAAACAAACACACGATCAAGACTTACCTGTGATGCCCAGTGTACTTGGCCCCTTTGATATGACCCACTCCATTGCAGCCTGGTGTTGGGCAGCTGGCTGGCCTGAAATACACACCCAAAAAATACAAATAAGTGGTGAAAATCAAAAACTAAGAATAATCTTGGTCAAAATGACAGTAGAAATCACGGCTTATCAATACAATATTGGGCTTAAACTTAAGGAGGAAGACACATGAAGAAATGTTCCGTTTGAATGTGCAGTAATAGTCTGGAGAAACCAACAGACAATACTGATAAACTTACGAATTGTTATCATGTCAATCACAAGTTACGGGATGAACAAGAACTTAGGAATGCCGTTATTTATCTTCATCAATTTGAATAGCTCATCACTTCGACTGAGATTCAACTCCCAACATGACTAATTTAGAAAAAAAAATGAGGAAACTCCAAACCACACAAGACTTTGTACAGTATTTTTCAATTTGTAATGTCATTCATGAGAAGTACAAAACGAGGAAATCAGCAGATCCGAGGAATAGTTGCATGCCTGTGTAATGTAGCTTAAGATGGACTTGTGATGACTTGTGATGGACTTGTGATGGACTTGTGATGACTCATGATGACTTGTGATGACTTGTGATGACTTGATTACAACTGACAAATTGTCAACCCTGACGGGATTCAACATCAGCTCCAGAAGGTGGAAACCAGATGTGACATCAAGCTCTTGGGACAATCAAAGAAGAAAGAATGCTTACCCTTGGTTTGAGACCAGCTGGGAGGGGCGTATGGGTGGCACCAGTGCGTGCACCGTCTTATTACACCAACCCACTGGGTGTAAATCAGGACTGTCATCATCCAACATGAAGTCGTAGTCGTCCGTCCAGCCGTCAAAGTGTATCCTGAGCCGGTGACCGTCGATCTCAGCTACAGAGGCGGCACGGATGAGGGATGGGTTGCGCACGTCTACCGATTCCAGACGCATGCCGATTTCAAAACCGACCGGCGGCCGCTGTGAATAAAACATTAATACGGTTTGTATACAGACTCTGTTCATGAACAGTAGATGATAACATACTGGTTCGTGCAGGGATGGCGTGAAGTTCGCAGGAGGGATTTTATTCTAAATGTGCATTAACCCGTAGCATCTTCACGTGAGTGTCAGGCGCCGTCTACAATGTGTTCAAATGCCCCTCCCAGTGGCTTCCTTGTACTTTCTCTTTGAAACCACTGTGAGGGTATTCGTGCAAGGAGTCTATAGCACCTTGTATGAATTTCTCAAAGTGCTTCAAAGTTATTACCCCTGTTTTAGGCTATAAGATCAATTTTTAAGCAGCAGTTTGAGATCGGTGACAGATTTGATGAGAATAAGTCAATGTGCTGTTTACTTACCGGTTTGAATGCTCTGGTTGGCACGGCAACAGACTTGGTTCTTGCTAAGTAGTCGGCCCATGTGAAGTTAGCTATGTCTTCATAGTCTGTGAAGTACAAAGAAGCTTAAAAGTTAGATTCTGATTTTTTCAACTGTCATAGTTATAAACAAATTGCAGCGGGTCCCTTATTGTTATTGTGACTCAATCACATGTCGTCCAATCTCAAGTCTAAAAACGAGCACTTTAAATTTCAAATGAACTGTGATGAAGGTATTCCTTATTCATGGTTCATCCTGTTACTTGTAACTTGGCTTATGACCGACTTGTGATTGACTTGTGACATGTGTGATTGGCCTATGACCAACTTGTGATTGACATGCGACTAACTTGTGACTGACTTGAGATTGACGTATGACTGACATGTGCTTGACTTGCGACTGACTTGAGATTGACAAGTGATTAACATGTGATTGACTTATGATTTGACTTGTCGCTGGACTTGTGATTTGACTGGTTACTAGAACATCTAACTTTTGATAGACTTGACGACGACTACGGACTTGTAATCACATCCTCAAAATCCCCTATTTTCATTTTGAAATGAAAATCACGTCCCCAGGATTCAGTGTCATGATGCTTCCCCAACAGGACATTCTTATACGAAATTCAATTTAAAAGTTTGGCCTTGAAACTGGACCTCCAAACTCAAAAAAAAAAAACGTTACCGTTTGGCGGTGACAAGATTTTCCCGTTCTCTTCGCACCACCCAACAGGATGGATGTAAGGTGAGGACGAGTCGCACCAGTAATCATACATGTCCTCCCAGGCATCGAAATGGATCAGGAAACGACTCTCCATGATGTCTGTCACCGTGGCAACGCAGATGAGGGAAGGATTCTTCTTGTCGATAGCCTCGAGTTTCATTCCTTTGCGGAATCCCTGCGGGGTCAGGCAGTCCTAAGAAAGAAAACCGAGAAAGATTTTCAGTGACAAATTTTCCTTCCTCTATGGAATCTTTTCCAGGTAAAAATTCCAGTAGAAACAAGTTTAGTTGGTTCAACTAGTTTCAACTGATAAAGGTGAACTACAAATTGGTGATTGGTTTGACTGGTTTTGAACTGGTATAACTAGGTATTGAACCAGTTTAAACAGTTCAAAACTAGTCAAAACCAGTTTAAACCAGTCACCAGTTTCCAGTTGAACTGGTTTCATCCGGAATTTTCAACTGGGTTGTCAGGTACAAGTACACATATGTACCAATTATATAAAACTGAATGAGTGAAGATTTGAGGAATCGATTTCTTACATTTTCGTAGCTTTTGAAGAGCGTCTTTGGGGCGGCTTGGGACTTGGTCATCTTCAAGTAGGAGCTCCAGCTGAAATTGTCAGCGTTGAAGCCTGCCAGAAAGAAAGACATACATCGTACATACATTCCCGGTTATTTCAAAGTATTTGCTGCCACAATGTATCAGTATTAAACCAATACTAAGGTGAATATTTACTCAGTGAAAAAGGTAATAATAATAATAATAATAATAATGGAGTCTTATATAGCGCACATATCTACCAACAATTATGTACTCAAGGCGCTGGAAATTATGTCAATTATTAAAGAAAGGTAAATAAAGTTTATGAGAAATATGAGACCCATTATGTAGCACCTTATAATGGTTTACATGGTGCTGCGGCGCATATTGCAGCCACTGCCAGAAACACCGGGGCAAGCCCCTTCTCTCAGCAATAAGTGTTACTGGGTTCTTTAATGTGCATTACACAACACACGGGACCTACGGCTTTACGTCCCATCTGAAGGACGAAGCAATAATGGTTAAGTGCCTTGCTCAAGAGCACAAGCACCATGCTCCAACGGCCAGGATTCGAACCCATGTACCACGGCACACGAGTCGAACACCGTAACCATTGGACCACAGCACCCCATAAACATACTATACTACTATAATCATACATGATCAAAGGGGATGCATGTGATTCACTTCATTTCTGTGTTGACAAAGTCTTGGAGATCCCACTACGTTAAGGTTCGATCAAAGAAAGCTTGCATACTAGCACAACACACACTGTACACATTATCCATTCCCAAATATAAACCACAAGTCAACTTAATGCAAAAGAAACACAAAATAATATTGCACATAACAACGTACGCTAACCAAACTTCAGACATACAACTGGCATCAAAATAAAAAGAATGCAAAATTGCAACATAAATACACATACCATAGCACAGTACAAGACAAAATGCAAATCAGAGATTCCTGCTTGGGCTGTCCCAAAAATACTGAATATTCAAATATTCGATCAACCGAATACTCAAATAGCCATTGTTTATCGGCGGTGACAGCAACTTTTTTGTTGACGGCGGTTCATTGCTGCTTTTAGCAGGCTAAAGCCCTTGGCAGTTATAAATTACTGCGAAAATATTGCAGCTGCCCATAATGTCGATCGTTGCGTGCAAATCTTACCCGGTGCACTTTGCATGCAACATTTGACAGGCACGGAACACAGCTGCAGCTGGTGTGTCAACTTGATCGGCGAGTTTCTACTATTCAGTCAAGAACAGTTTCAAATAGACTAAATTATTCGAACATTGACAGCCCTAATTCCTGCAAGTAATATTTCTACCAAATGAACAGCAACGAAAATACACACGGAAACATACAGACCAGTAAAATCAAACAGATTTAAGCGGCTGAAGTACAGCAAAGAAAATTCCCAAGCCTATCTATCGATGCATGCATGCGCACTTTACGATCCCAAGGCTGCAATGCAAACAAATGAACTAAACCGTCTCCATGCCAAGAATTCAAAGAAAAAAAAGCAGAGCCTTTGCTCAACTTACCTCTGCCTATTATTATCAGGCATAATTTTTTTATGGCAGGAAAAAAAAAACAGAGATAAGGTGTGTTAAAACTGCTGAGCTTTCATAGATTCCGTGCACACAAATAATTTCTGCCACTTATTGCATTTATTTACCACTGTACAGCAGGAAGCAAACTTTTAAAACTTTTTATCCGAGCGGAAATGTGCACAACGAAATCTTGTGGATTTTTGTTTTTTTTACTGAGCTGTATGATTGGATTTTAATAATACCGGAGTCTTATATAGCGCATGTATCTACCAACGATTAGGTACTCAAGGCGCTGGGAATTATGTATATTTTTAAAGACAGGTAAATGAAGTTTATGAGAAATGTGAGACCCATTATGCAGCACATAAGGGTTTACAAGGTGCTGCGGCGCGCATATTGCAGCCACTGCCAGAAACACCGGGGCGAACCCCTTCTTTTAGCGATAAGTGTTACTGGGTTCCTTTACGTGCATTTATACAACACACGGGACCTACGGCTTTACGTCCCATCCGAAGGACGAAGCAATAATGGTAAAGTGCCTTGCTCAAGAGCACAAGCACCATGTTCCCACGGTCAGGATTCGAACCCATGTACCATGGCACATGAGTTGAACAATGTAACCATTGGACCACAGCACCCATTGGCACCTGTATCATTTTGTATTCACTCCCTGATGCATCCATAAAACCACAGAGTGCTCAGGCAGTTTGGGGCGGTACAGGGAGTAACAGGCAGGATGGTTTAGGGTTGTACGAGACAAATCGGTTAAAACCTTCATTTTTCAAATATATTTTCAAAAACAGAAGTTTTAGATACATTTGCACTGGCTATCCGCGACAGCAACAAGCATTTCAGTTCAGGCTGCTGTTGGCAGCTTATTAGCTGCTAAAGGGTTAAGAATACTAAGTTGAGAGGACAAAACAGCAGGGGACAATTTCATGGAGCTGCTAAGCACAAAAATAGTCTGGCTTATAAAAGCAGGTTACCAGCCAAAACTCCATGTGATTTTCATGCTAAGCAAACAGCAGCTGAATACCAATCACGAGCAATATACATCACATGGAGTTTTGGCTGGTAACCTGCTTTTATAAGCCAGACTTTTTTTGTGCTAAGCAAATGTTTGTGCTTAGCAGCGCCGTGAAATTGGCCCCAGAGGACTAACCCTTTGGATACTGCAGTTTGTGGTTGGTCTTCTCGCACCAGCCGGCTGGCTGAATGTCCAGGGAGTCCGCGTTGACCCAGAAGTCGTAGCACTCGGAGTAGCCGTCGAAGTGTAACCGGATGCGATAGCCACGGATTTCCGCTACCGTCAGGACACAGAAGAGGCATGGGTGTTTGGGGTCGATGCCTTCCAGCTTCATGCCCACCTTGAAGTTGTTCTTGCCGATGGGGAAAGCCTGTGGGTTAAAACGTGGTTTAATATTCAAAGAGTGGTTTTTGGTAGTGGTTCTGAGAGTGGTCTATGGTAGTGATTACTCAGAGTGGTTTCTTGAAGTGTTTTTTTTAAGTGATTTTTGGAAGTTGTTTAATTCTAAGAGAGGTTTCTGAAAGTGGTTTCTGAAAGTGATTTCTGAAAGCGAATACAGTGGTTTCTGAAAGTAAGAGTAATTTGTGAGAGTGGCGTTTTTTAACACAGTTTACGGGAATGGCTTCTCGGGTGGTTCTGAGAGTGGTTTCTTATAAGCTGTTGTCCGAGAGCAGTCTTTGATATTTGTTTTCTCCATATGGTTGCACATCTTAATAAGAAAAAAAAGACCTGGGCAGGATTTACTTACATCTTTGAAGTACTTGGCTGGGGCAGCCAGTGCATGCTCCTGCTGTAGATATGTGCTCCATGTGAAGCCTTTCTTCTTGCCTGAGATTTAAAAATCAATATTAGAAGTAAAATTAATTTGCAGAGAAAGATAAACAACCATACAATCTGAAATATAAGAAGAAGGGGTTGAAGAGATTGTCACTTGCAGCACAATGATGGACATCATTTATATTTTCTCCTAGTTACTAATGTAACAATGATGTTACTTTTACCAGGCCTTTACGTTAACTTAACCAACTCCTACGTACGTTTCCATGTATCCTACCTGGTTTAATTGCGACGGGTGATTTTTCCATCCCTTTGATGTTGATGGTCATCTTCAGATCCCCATGGAGATGAGCCTATGATCAGTCATGAAAAGTGGGAAACAAAGATTTGAGAAAAGTTGCATGTGAGTCCGTCAACAAACTTTTACCTAAATTTGCTAACCGTTAAACAGCTTAATTCAGCTGTGCCCAAGATACAACTGTGGCTTTATAATTATACTTGGACCTTTTTTTACATAATACTCCTTCATCACTGGATTCCCATCACCGTTGGAATCTTTTCAGTCTTCTGACGACGTATACTGTCCGAAACATTGAGTTTCCTCCAGTTCTTTTCAGAACCCCACACTCTCACAAAAGAGATTTGTCACATGGTGCTACTGTAAATCTTTAGCTTAATACTTTCTCTTTTTACCTTGCCCTCAGGGCCGGGACTCTTGGGTTTACGTCCAACTTTCTTCTTCAGCATCATGTTTGAACTCTTTTTCTTCTCCGAGTCCTTACGCAAGGATCCTTGCCTAGAGAAAGAGGGTGTGAGATCAATGGGAAAACATGAGACCTGCTCCATCAAATTGAGGAATATTACGTTTTGAGTTAAGCCACTTGCCAAGCTATTTTTTTTTTACACTGGATTGACTTGTGATTGACTTGTGATTGACTTGTGATCGACTTGTGATTGACTTGTAATTGACTTGAAATTGACTTGAAATTGACATGTGATTGGCATGCTATTGACGATTGAGTTGCGATTGAGTTGCGATTGACTTGTGATTGACTTGTGATTGACTTGTGATTGAGTTGCGATTGAGTTGCAATTGAGTTGCGATTGACTTGTGACTGACTTGTGATCGACTTGTGATTGACTTGAGCCTGGACATGTGATTGCTTTGTGATTTTTCATGTAGCTGACTTGTGATGGACTCCAGTACACCTCTTGTTCAGACTACTTACTTGCTGGCGTAAGCTCCTACGCAGGACTGGCTGCAGAACCGACCAGACTTGCAGAACTCTGCGATGGGTCCCTCCTTCAAACACTGCTCACAGACACATACCAATGGCTTGCTGCCCGGTTCCTTCTGAAGGTCCTCTGTAAGGAAAATGTAATCAAGCGGGTAACAAATGAGTCTGTGTTTAATTTGATGTGATGAGGAAGGAATACGAACAGCAAAGCTAGGATTTCTATTCAATTTGTTAGTTTTTTTGGTTTTTTTTACATACGTTTGATGTGATCATTAAGCAGCTTAAGGACGACAGGGAGTTGAAATGGAAATATTGTTTAGGTAAGATCACAGTTTGTTCTCAAAAAGTTTACTAATGGAAATTTTCCCATCTTCCCGGCTCAGAATTTACGCCACTGCTTAATAAATCCACGCCTCCTTACCTAGTGAAGAGTTGTATTTTTTATCGTTGGTGAAGACTGCTGACCGTTCGCTGGATAGGTCACTTCCTGCCTCACTGGCCGGCGTGGGCGTGGGGCTGGGGCTGGGGCTGGGTTCAACGGACTCACTGCGGGGGTCTGCCTCCATAATCAGCTCCAGGACTCCAAACTCATTCATCTTGAACTGAAGTATGGATCAGCAATGGCAATCATAATATTTAAATAGTCTGTCACTAGGCTTTATTGCCATTTTGTGGGCTCAGTGTGATTTTTAACGAATTCAGACAAATGTAGTACATAAACACCAGGTATCTTTACCAAAAATAAAATTTTTCTCTTAATTTGAATAAACTTTCAAACCACTATATTTTTCCCCTTTTTTGCAATTAGTTCAAAGAAATGCACGAGTAATTCAAATTTCAATGCCCTTGCATTTTGAATACATTGGCAACCCAATTGCCAAAACCTTCTATCATAAAACAACAACTTTAATCAATTATGAGTAATTGATACAGTACCTCAAGTGACAATAAGTATTGTTTTAATGTTCCCAAAATAATTGCCACTTCATCAACAGTTCACAAAGTTTATATATAAAAGTGGTATTAAATTTTACTTTGCAACGATGCTGAGAAATGAGCATAAACCGAGATCAATTCGAGCATAGCATGCACATAATGTTTGATTTTTTGGGGTCCGCTCATAAGTCCGACGCCTCATAAGTCCGATGTCTCATAAGTCCGACAAAATCGCATCCCCTAACTAAATAAAGGCCCATAAGTCCGACGCCTCATAAGTCCGACGTCTCATAGCTCCGACGCCTCATAGCTCCGACGCCTCGTAGGTCCGACAAGTTTAAACGCCTTGTTATTCTGACGTCGGACTTATGAGGCGTCGGACTTTTGAGACGTCGGACCTATGAAGCGGAATAAATAAATTTTATGCCTCATAAGTCCGACGCCTCATAAGTCCGAAAGTTCGGACCGACGCCTCATAAGTCCGAAAGTTCAGACTTATGAGGCGTCGGACCTATGAGGCATCGGACTTATGATACGGCCCCGATTTTTTTGTCCGTGTGTGTCTTTGCAAAACTACGTCTTCTTACCTTCATGTCACTACCAGGAAGGACGCCTATTCCGTCTTCGTTCCATTCTATGCACTCCATTCCCTCCCCACTATCGCCCTCAGGCTCCTCCCCTTCCTTTTCACCTTTGACCTCATCGCTGCCATTCCCGTCACCGTTAATGCCTCCCTCTGATGTCTCCAGACTATCTTTGGTGGTCTCGTCTTTGGGAGGGTCTGCGTCGGATTTTTCAAGAGTAGGCATTTCATCTGGAGGCAACATGGACGTGGAACCGTTTTCTGATGATTTTTCTGCTTCAACATTTGGAATATCTGGAGGATCTATTGAACAAAAAATGCTCATTATATTATTCCTGTTATGCACAAAAGTTGAGCATTTTAAGGAAATTGGAATTAGGAAATTTGAAATTAGGATTTTCAAACGATTTCTTTAAAAATAAATCGCCGCTGACACTACTTTAAAGACTCTTTACTTAACAAATTTTTTATTCCCTTTTTTGTTTGTTTTAATTCACCTAAGGCTAAACCTGAACAGATACTCAACTTTTTGGGAGGAAAACTTTTTTCCGGGGGGGGGGGGGGTCCTGAGTGGTCACAATCTCTGTTTAACTCCCTAAGCCAGATTAAACTGAATGAAATTCCTACTAAATCCTTACACTTGTATTAATCAACAGACTTTAAAAAAAAAAGTCACAATTAAACACGCCCATCCCACCCTCATAGGCCTCTATTATACCGGTACCTTCTTCTTCCAGTTTCTCCCCTTGAGGTACCATCAAGTCCACATCCTCCCCATCAGCAACTTGGCCGTCCTCCTTGGGTTCCTCAACCAGCTCTGCCCCCGCTTCAGATGGCTTTTCCTTAGCCTCCTTCTCAGCCTTGACTTTCTGTCTCTGTGGCTGCTCTGTGCTACTGGATGCGGCATTTTCGGTGTCTGCCATTATGAGAGCCGAAGTACGGACTGGAGTTAAAGACTAGATCACAGAAGTCTGATGTACTGGTCAAGCTTGTTTCTCTGCGAATAAAAATTACAGAATGTCCTACATGTTAATAACTTGTCTTCTATCGATCGAGAGTCTTATTTTCATCAGCAAATGTCATTTCCCTTTATGTTATTAAAAGTCTCAGAAAAACACACAAAGCTCAGGCAAGTTAATAATGTTGTTTACAACACCCCCCCCCCCCAAAGTTTCTCCAAAACAGTCTTAAAAAGTACCCAAAAAATTGATAACATGATATGTTTCGTTTGTGCACCCCTCTTAATTGTCGTTGATAAAAGCGGAGTTAGGTCGAGAGCTTTTCTATTTGGCTTCTGCAATTCCTTAATATGGGCAACAAGGGTTTACATATAAAGGGGAAATTCTTTTTGTCTTACTTAATCAAAAACCTCAGAAAACACTTGCTGCTCGTTTGTTTCTGCATAGAAATACCCACTGCCACATTATTTGCGCAAGTTTGCAAACATATACTCATCAGGTGAACATATAGCCAGCGATTTTTTTTTTCATGTTACAAAAAAGCACCGAAGTTGTGAAACTTTTTGGTTTTGGCCAGGAACTCTTTCAAAGAAATTCTCTCGCTTTGGCTTAGTTACATAATTCTATGAAATGAAGTGAGCCCAAAGTTACATTTTTAGTATGTTTTCCATTCTATGAATACGCAAAGAAATCACTTCCACAAACTGAAATTAACCAATATTACCCCCAAAAACCATGAAAGAAATTGTCATAAAATAGTGTTTATACTACACGAGCATACGCACATGATGCTTTGCATGCGTGCATGTAAAACCACACGTCTTGGTTAAGCCCGAGGCCTACAATATATGACATTCAAGATCACTTCAACTCTGACTGTCCTCAGCTCTGGGACATTTAAGAATTATTGGTGAAATTGTTGCTGACATATGGGTATCGAATATTGCAATTTCTTTGTTCATTCATAGTCATGTTACCGTGCAATGTCTGTTTCTCCACACATTTTATTTTGTTTATATCCCAAACCAAAATGCTACATTCAAGTGCTTCTAATTAAATATCAGAGTTTTCATCAGGTTTGGAATTTTATTAGAATAATTTTTAAAAAGTTGAATGATTTTTTTTCCGTCTGATTTTCAAATTCCTACAACTAAATCTGATTATCAGAAGTTTTGTTTTCTTCAGTAATTGTACAAGTTTGATAACATTTCCAATATTCTAAAAAATACTTGATAAACTGCATTGGATGCCAAAGTATTTTTATCTCCTACATAAAATAAGTCAGAGACGCACGTAAATCGGCGCTTATTACATATCTCACATGCACATGCATTTTACCAAGTCACACAATAATTAGAACTTCAAGAAACTGTTGCAGCAACAACTACGTTGTCTTTAAAGAATCAGAATGAATTACATAAGTGTGGAACCTCCAATTATAGGCAAACATTTTTTTTTTAAAGGCAACAACTTTGAAGACCGAGTTCCGTCCAAATCCTTTAATTTTATATCCTTCCACAACAATTTTCTTATCCTGCCCCCCCCCCCCCAAAAGACGTTGCAATTAATTCATTCAGCCATTAGGAAAAGTGAAAACTATAAACCAGTTTCTCGTTCCCGAACACTTCCATTTTTCCGGCAGCCTCCTTTAATTTTTTTTTTTTTAATTCATACATTTGCAATATATTCTACGCATATATTGTCAATATTGTCTTTTTGTTTCCAACAAAATTGTAGCTATGCAGAAAGGCTTACGGCTCCTTTGGACACGATTATGTATCAGCAAACTAGTCCAGAAAATGGAAAGATTCATCTGCCATTTCTTCGGGGAAAAAAAAGAAAAAAATGCCCGCCTGCTGCATTTTTTGAAGAATCTACTTAGTTTTTTTTCGGCCCTTGGTGGAAACCACCAACATGTTGCATTATGTGTCTTCATATCAAGGATAAGTGATACGTATCTTCTTAGTTGATTTGAATGTTGCCGTTAGTACTGTGCATGTAAACCTATCTGCACACGGCGTCCTATTAGGAATAAATTATTCATATCATATGACAGTGTTGCATGCTTAATACCTGGGTATTTGATTGGGATGTTCAGTGTCGTGTGCATTGGTTTTTCTTCAAATCAAAAAGATTTAATATGTCAACAATATTTCTTTTTGACTGAACTTAACATTTTTTTCATGACACTTGACCAGTTTGTTATACTTAGGAGCAAATTTTTGTATATTTTCTTGAACGTTTTGGGAAAAAAATTGAAGTTTTGTGGTGGGTTTGCTAAATTCTTTGGAAAAATGCCAATTACAAAAGCAAAACTTTTCTGGGCCTGGATTCAATTTGTGATGCCGATAATTTTGATAACAGAGGGCAAAATAATGAATATTACGGTTGAAAGTATACATTTCATTAGCATACAAGGCCATTTCTCCATCCAGAATTTCGTGAAACATTTTCTCCATAAATCATGCATATCCCACAAAAAGTACATGCCATTGAATCCAGTACACACAGCAGATCAAACGTAACCAGCGATTGTTTTACAAGCGTTGCACATTTTGTGAGTTGTACAGCTATAAGGTCAAAATCTGCAGTATTATAACACAGAACAGACTTGAGCAAGTCTAACTGAGATGGCTGAATCATTAAACTGGGCAGTAAAACTTGAAGCTGGTTTTCTTTTCCAGACATTTTACTTTCACCAAAATAGTCTAAATGGGCACAAAGATATTATGTCAATTATCATCATTGAAGATATATTATGGTGGATTCCGTACATGTAGGCCTCGATTGTCTTTTCAATATGCTAGACTTCAATTTTGTACATGTATAGGACTTCATGGAATTGTCTCATCTGTTTAACAGAGGAAAAAAAAAAGGTAATTTGACAAACTTGACTATGAATTGACGCTGTACTATGTCCTACGTAGTTTTCCTGTGTATTTTCAGCATATTTTATCTGAATATCCTGGTTAATGCTGACCCGCATATTAAAAACAAATTTGAAAGCTGCAGAATAAATAAAATGAGTGAGTTGTTGCAAACTGTTATACGTACCGGTACATGTATTGTAATGCTTTCAATGAATCAATTTTGTCACTATGTGATAAAAAAATTAAATGTCTCAGCTTTCCTTCCTCTTTCTCTTTTTTTCCCCCCAATATGTAACTAAGTAGTTGTAATAATTAGTATGAAGTGAAGCGTTATTCATACATGATGAATTAAACATTATTTTATATTGCATATCGCCACATATTATTAAACAAAAATTGAAATAAGAAAACAAACAAAACCTATCTTTACTTGTTAAAGTTCTCTGCCCACATCAAAGTCCCGCCTCCTTTTAGAATTATTTTTAAAGAAATACATGGAAAAAATCCTCCGCCATCTTAGAATATCCACCATCTTGGGGGAAAAAGGCCGCCTCCTTCACTTGAATTTCAGAAAGCCAGGACAATTAAACCTTTTCTTTTACTTGGCCTATACATTCATCAACACTGATTGACAAAGAAATTGAACACGTCCATATTTATTAAGAAGCTGATTTTATATTTTTCATAACAACACAGTTAATTAAATCATTTAATAATAATTTTTTAAAAAGCAAGAAAATATGACTGTCCTTTATATCTCCATAAAATAGTTTAAGACAACATGAAAAGTACATATCTTTGACAAAAATATGAAAAAAGTATGCAAAAAAAAATCCACATTATTTGCAATTGCAATTTGCTAGCAGTGAAAAAAATATCTTAAATTTCTTCAAGCCGTTTTGGTGAGCAAACTACATGAACAAAAAGCTCCAGCGCACTGTACTGCGAATTGTGCACACGATGCGCCGCGATTGATCCGAGCATCCGAGTAAATACAAAGATAATTCTACCTCAATGTTTCAACACAACTGACATTTTTTTCACGTCTAAAAAATGCGTTTTATTTCCACTTCACAGAACACACAAAAACAGGAACGACAAAAGACACCAGAGAAACTAATAGACTTTCGGGGACGGGAACTTTGCAAATCTAAAACAAAATCCAATTCGGGTATTTTCGACCGTTAAGGAAACCTGATCGAAGTTTCTGAGTGAAAATTGTGTGCAGACAAAAATCCCAAGTTCTCTCGGAGAGTCGTCAACTTCCGTCACCGAAAAATCCCTTTTTACCCCAAACCAGAAACACAAAGACTCCACAAACGGGCAGGAACGGACAGGAAAATTCACACTGCAACTGCCACAAATATCGACTCTTGTTCGATTGTCGATGTTTTCTGGCAAAAAATCATAGAACACGACTTTGCAACACACAAATCTGAGGTCATTTTGTAATTTTTCACTCCCGGGTAGCTGTGCGTGGCAACTTCCGTAACGCGCAATGTGCAGAAATACGTGTATTTTCATATACGAAAGCGTACTAGGTCAATATTCTTTACGATTTCTAAACTCTACATAACACGAAGTAGCCCTAGAAAACTATTCAAAAGTGAAGAACAAACTTTTTTCCATCTAAAAATGGCTCGTAAATGGTCTAAAAGCAATTTTAAAGTTGTAAAAATTACGAAAATTTCTCACCGTTCTAGGCTTGGCTCTCACAGGCCATGCCTTGCTTCGTCAGCGACCAAATGGCGGCCTCTCATTTGCATAACAAAATAGGCTCTTACCGTAATGGCGCACCACCCCCGGCGTAGCCTCAAATTGGGTCTGAAAATTAGATTTGACCGATAAATCCTCGGCGTTCGTCCCCCAAATTACCAGCAGCCTACACCTAAATGTGTGTACTTCTGTATTTGTGTGATTTACACTCGTTAAACAATTAGGAACGCGACGAAAAATGGTGTTTAATCGCCAACACTGCGGTCAGATTAACGCAGCACAAAAACATTGTGTTCATGTCCGCGGTTCGGAAAAAAAATACTATCATTGACTTGCACGCATCTGGCCTAACAGTAACACAAAATAAATGCGGACAACAGTCATCGTTGTGTAAGAAAGTTCCTTTATAAAACTGTGCTTCCCCGTCTATTGAAAAGTGAAGAAAATACAGTCACACAGCTACGACACAATCATCTTCAACCAAAATCCATTGAATTGTGAATTTTAAAATTAACATACGCATCAAGGAAATGTGTTCTTTCGCGTTCCCATAAATGCGGCAATGCAGGATTCTTATACAATTAATACTATAGGAATTATAATGCACACAAGCTGATCTCCGAATCAGACTTTCGAATTAAACTCCATTTTCGACAGTATTCTTCAGAATAATGAACGTGGAAACATGGTACATCACCTTTAACTGAAAATAAATGTCAACTGAAATCAAAGCTAATTAAAGTGGGTTCAAAAAAATCGCAGACGGGATTTTCTGTCAAATTCACTGTCGAAGAGTAGATCTTTGCGACTTTATACGGTCGCAAAGGTGTTTTTTTCTGTAAATGAGAATGACAATAGTGTACAGAGGGCCTTTTAGTTTTACTAGATTTGCCATGGTTTTGATTGGTTCTGCAAATCATGTCGGTGCAACCAGGTTTGTTCCGCGAGTACGCCGGGGGGGGGGAGGAGACTTTTCAAGGGTAGTTGAAACAGAGCAAGGTGAAAAGAGTGCCTTACCTTGTGTATACCCCGGGAGTTTTACTTTCAAAATTACAAAAGTTAATGGTATTCGATGAAGTCATTTCTTTTTTTATGGAGGAGGGGGTGTTAAGTAGGGGCTATTACTTTTGGGGGTTGGGGGGGGGGGCTCAGAACCCAGCGCAGTCAGGCAATTAAGGCGTGCTCCAGGGGCCACACCTCATGCCTGCAAACCGAACCTGCAGGTTTTTTTATGTATAATTAAAATTAGAGAATGTATATTTACTGCCATAAATGGGTATTAAAGCCGTGGTCAATTCTTTTTCGTCTAACAAAAACTAACAAGGCCCGTCTCCATTTTACCCCACTCAGATATTCACGGCGCGTATAGCTACTTCTAGCAGTGGAACATGTTGTACTTGTTAAAATCACCATAGTATGGGTCACAGGGCTAGGTTCTGTTTTCACTTTTCCATGTGTTTATTTCGGTGTCCGGCCGGCATCGAATGTACTGCGTAATGTTCTGTTTAGCAACGTCAGCAAGCCCGATGCCCCAGGGCCCGAAAATCCTGTCAAAAATCAGGCGTAGAGCCCTCGATACGGTAAAAATGTTTACCAATCTACAGTAGTTAAATTCTGAATGTCATTTCGCATTTTGCCACATGCTTTTGCTGCGTTATGAACATTTTATAACATAATTATGCATCATCATGCCTGTGTTGAAAAATGCACCTTGAACTTCCGCGTTTACATTTACAACAGCTGAAAGTGCCTGAAAATAAAAAATAATGCAGTGCCGTGAACTCGGCAACTTTCGTATAAAACCACCTTTGTTGGGTTTTGAGTATAATCAACATAATAAATAGGTATACATCTAAACATTCTTACTGATATAATGCCGTCAAGTTCTTTAATTTACGGCACCTGATGTAGCGTATCCAGGTTTGGGGTCCGGGGGATTGGTAAAATTCATATTTTTGAGAAAGTGGCACCAATTTTAGTGTTCTTACTAGCGGTTTCGAGTTGCTGCAGGTGATCATTTCATGTCCTTTCAATTTAAAAAATAGTTACATAAAATTGGCAAAGTTGCGGGGAGGGGGGCGGGGTGCAGTAGGACATGCTCGTCCGATAAGATTGAAAGGTTTTCATAGTGAAGTGATGTTTTTCAGAGTACAAATGCGGTGGTTATTTTGACCAATTACCGCAGTGTCCTGTGAATCACCTGTCGGCTCTGGACAGTTTACTTAAATAATAAATATTTTACGACAAATGAAAGGGGAAATGCTTTACGTATGGACCAACTTAGGAGGAAACAAGAGTTTTCACAATGGTCTTATTTTGAAGAGACCAACATTTTGGAAATCAATAAAACTTACAAAGTGTCATTTTTAAAGAACTTTGAAAAAAAAAGTTACTTTGCATCTTAATACCAAAAATGATTCCTACTTGGCTTTTTGAAGCCTCTAAAACTTACAACTTGTAAACTGAACCGCGACAGGAGACTTCAACTTTGAGAACAACATGTAAGGAATGTTGGTGAACTGTTTCGCAAGATCCAAATCCCGAAACAATTGGGGAAATCCCCTGAAATACTGTCGGTAATAAAGCGCCGCCGGAACAGAAGCAGAGGATTTAGTGTTGGATATACACAAGGGTCTCACGTACATAATGTCAGGAAACAACTGTGCTATGCACATTATTGCAGCTCTTAATGCAAATTAATACAGCTCTAAAAAGGGGAGGGTGCAGCACCATGAGCACACCCCTCCTTTGTAGGATTTTCCCCTTTTTCCCCTTTCATCCATGCATCAAACGTCTAGCGGCAAAATACCTCCCTTTGTCCCTCCTGTCCTGAAGGAAAATTAAGAAAAGAATGATTGTAAAACACATATCTCATGTATTGGGTCTTTCAGGTAAAAAAATACTTGACATTTTAAGAAAAGAGAAAAGATTTTAGCGATTTGAAATGTCACATTATTTGATGAAAAAAAATCGAGATATGAATAAAACCATAGTGTTTTCCCCTGACTTTTATAACTAGTGTTTGACACATTTTACTTTGGTATACAGCAATTTTGTCAAAAAGGAGGAAACCAAATTTTAAAGTTTGCCAAAAAGAGGTTGTAAATCTATCAACTGGGTGTAATACATGCTTCTCTAAATTCTCTGTTTAAAATATTATTATGAGCGTTTATTCTACTTTCTGAAAGTAATTTGACAAAATGCATTCAAAAAGAGCAAATACCAAAAATTGACAACAGTTTCAATTGACTACTGACATGATTCTGACCAAATCTGTTCAAATTAATTCAATGTACAATTTTAGTTTAGATTACTTCTACACCCAGCAGAGTTTTCCATGTTTTTAACCTGATCTGGTGCAAAATGGAAGAAAACAAAAATATTATATTCCATAATTAATTAAGTCCTTTTAAAGGGAATATACAACATCTGCTTTTGCTGTAATTTTCAGAAATGGGTGGATATGGGGGTTAGTGTTTTATAGCAAATTATTATTGTATACTCTGACCTGTTTAAAGTTTTGTGTTCATAGATGCTGGAAAAAGAAAAAGAAGAAATACTGTTCTTGTAGCCTGGTTCCCAGACCCTACTTCAGACAAAACGGGGCAATTTATAGACGTCGGGGAATTGTCAGGTCAAGGAACCGGACTAGATTGCTTGCACCCTTTCGCAGATGTGTAACTGATTGCAAATAAAATGTGAACAAACTAAATTCGGTAAACTGGAGGCACTATTTGAAAAAATAAATCTGTTTGTTCCAATGATGGTCGGCTGACCATCGCTGGAAATTGATACAAAAAATTCCACTTTTCATGGAAATGACAGCACACCAGGTGGCATGATTTCGCAGGATGGTCGAGACTATTATTAACTTACAGCCAAGTAGAGTATTTTATAATAGTTTGGTAGTTTTGTTTTTTGACGTTTGCAATGTTGTTTATTGCCTTTAAGTTTGAGTGAATTTCAATTAATTGTACCTGTAGTAATGTCAAGTGAAATGCAATTGCAAGGAATTTATGTTGTATATATGCCTGATTTTGTAAATTAATTTTTTTATTTATTATCCACATCCAACAGCAGAACAACCGCCAATTACAGGACTGGGTTTGAAATATAAAAACAAAAATTAACTAATGTTTTCCAGACCTCAATGAAAAGAGTGTTAAATCAGGATGAAATTAATCAGTGCACATTTTGTAGAGTGCTCCTCTTGTTATGTTCATGGGAATTATACTAAGACACTGAAACATAACCAGAACCTCACATCAATAAAATAATTCAAAATGTAGTTTCTAAAAAAGGCTTACAAATAAAACAAATGGCATGTGCATGCAATGTGCTTCATTTTATTTCAATCAAAACATAAATATCCCATTTGGGGGGTGCATACACCTATAGTTTTAATTACCATATTAGTTTTAATGTAAAATTGATGATCATAACAAGAAAAAGACTTTTTATTTGAATACAAGACTCTTTATAGATTGTAGTAATCATCATGAATTATTATCATCACTGGTTCTCGTACACACGGTGGACTTTCATTTTTGTGTCGATCAATACTGGCTGCCTCCATGGAGATCATCTCTCAAGTCTTTGAAACGGAAAACTCATGAATGCATCTGGGATTCATAGGGCCTATGTAATTAGGAACTGATCTATGTGAAATTAGTTTTGTATCATTCAACAAATTTAAAAAATAGATTGTGGCTTGTAAGCTCAACGGACTTGTATAGAGAAATTCAACACGGTAATTTTTTTAAAAGATAAAAACAAAGCAACTTATTACACGCATCGTTGTGTGTACTATCCTGCTTTCACTGCAAAATGTCATTACAAGGAACTATGGTTAAATGCTATGCTTACTCACAGTATACTAATATGTGATCAAGTCAGGCCCCACAAAGGGTGCATATTTTGTTCGCACTTGTAATGAGCATGGCTCATCGTTGTCATTTATTTAATGCATTTATACACAATTCAGTGTTTCTGCACTGCAATATGACAACAGATGTATTTATAATAAGCTGGGGTCTGATTCAGCAAATGAACAGAATAGCTTTTGTTGTCAAATGTCATACGCTCCATATATGTAAATAATCATTGATTTGATATTCACTGCAGTGCAATTTAGGTTTTTACAACTGGGCAGTGTGTGTGAGTGATCAAGTGTTGAAGTAATTAGGATTTTTGTCTCTGTCTTGGCTTAAGGAGGGGAAAGGAAGGAATTAAATGTAATTGAGTTGCAGTTGATGAGGGTAGTCATAAAATTAAAGGGGGACTAAG